ATTCAAGACCAACGTTCTCGGATTTAGAGGAGCCGATTCTAATCCCAGCTGCCTCACATTCGGCTGCGTTCTGATGAAGCCAACAGGACCACATCATCTGCAAAAAGCAGAGACTCGATCCTTAGGTCACAGAAGCGGATCCCCTCAACACCTTGGATGCACCTCGAAATCCTGTCCATAAAAGTTATGAACAGAATGGGTAACAAAGGGCAGCGTTAGCGGAGAACTCTCACCGGGAACGAGCTCTGACACCGGTCATAGAGACCTATCAGCCCATATCAGAGGGCCTGGTACCCCATACCCCCAAAGTACTCCCCACAGGGCCCCACATGGCCCTCCAAGGGACGCGGTCAAACTCTCGTGACTTTTAAATAAAAACTTTCATGTTTTCATCAGCCTTTAAATGAACGTTTCTTATGCTGCACCTTCTGCAAAGGAACTGCTCACCCTGTGATTCTTAAATCAGAAACATATTTGTGTACTTTAATTATGCTGTCATCTTGATTTTGAAGGTTTGTGCTATTCTTGCTACTAGAAAGCACATTTAATTTTCTCTGTGTACAAAATCTGCTCTACGAATAAAGCTGCCTTGCCTCATCTAAAATATGCCTGGAATCTCAGGCTCCTGGCTGAGGTGCACACAAAAAACTTCAGCCCAGGGTGTGTTTTTGCCTGATATATGTAATAATTTTCTCAAAGCCCAACAGCAGCAGGAAATCCTCCTGCCTGATGTGAACTGTGGTTCAACATGTTATTCTCAATGAGCATTCGTTTCTGCCACACTTTTAAACTTGTTCTTTCATCTGACAACAGAAGTCAAAAATGTGAACGAGAGCATCTATGATATGATGGAGCTGCATAAAGATGGAAAGCATCGAAGGATGATGTAAGAAATATGCTGATTAGTAATATAATGAAGTAACTCATTGCAACTTTTCTGGTAACCTTTAGGTAATTTTCATTAAGGAATAAAGAAGGCATTTGAATTAATTATGAACTGAATAATGCTTCTTCTTAGGTGTGTTCTTGCTGTGTCTTTCTAAATCCATGCTTTCGTTCTTTTTTAAACACAGAAACAGTTTTGTTTACCTGTTTGTAGCTACAGTTTCGCCGACGGCTGCCGGCTTCTTCAGGCTGACGCTGATGGTGGCGCGTCACTTCCTTCTCCGTTTATCTGCGGGCAGCAGAGGACGTTGTCGCCCTCTACTGCCCGCTCGTGAGCACACGGATCATAACCACCGAACAACAAAAATACTAAAGATGGATCAAGGAAGCAATCGAGATAAGGAGACGTGGATGTGGGACCATGAACAGGGACGACGGAGTTTACACGCTGGACCACGCATGGGACTGCATCGTCGGAGAGGGGAGAGCGGGCAGTAGAGGGCGACAACGTCCTCTGCTGCCCGCAGATAAACGGAGAAGGAAGTGACGCGCCACCATCAGTGTCAGCCTGAAGAAGCCGGCAGCCGTCGGCGAAACTGTAGCTACAAACAGATAAACAAAACTGTTTCTGTGTTTAAAAAAGAACGAAAGCATGAATAATGCTTCTGATCCAATTTCTGGTCTCACTTTCACTTTAAAATCCTATCAGTACTAATGTGACCTACTCAATAGATTTTATAAAGTAAAATGTAACCGAGTATAAGAAATGTACACGTTACTATTTATTCTGAGTTACCTTTTATGTGACAGGTCCGAGTTGCAGTCAGAGAAGATGTTTACTCCACGGCAGCCGTTGCTTGCTAAGCACAAATACCTTACCCAGCCGTTCAACTGCATGTGTAAGCGGTGTGCGACGTAGCAGACGTGCTTTTCCCGCAAACTCCCTTGCTCTGCAAGCGTTTCAGACACAAAACGGCAGTGAAAACGTTCCATGTAGCTGGTCCCACGAAGTCGCAAAATCACAGGAGAACAGCAACACCACACGTGATTTCGGCAGTTCATATAAACAAGCAAGGAGAAATGTATCCCAAAAAAACATTTATTTTTGTTCTGTTGTCCTCGAATACGGAGTTTTCACTCGAAACCATGTACGTTTTTTTTACTAGTTAAGCAACTGAAAATCTCCATGTGACTTTTATTTTGAAAGTGTTTGGATGTTTTACGCTGGCTTCGTGTTTGACTTCCTGTCTGAACTTGACCTTTGACGCATTCTGGAAGTATAGCACATATAAAGTAGACTCAAAGCATAAACGGTGGATCCCTTTATGTCTGGAACGCTTCCTAAACGTAACACTTCATGGCCGATTGAAAGGCCCACATCCACTGTTGTGACTAATTTCTGCATGCTACACTTTGCAGACGTTATACGACACTTATGCGCCCAGTGGAAGAGCCTGGTTACACAAAAAATACAACAGCTTTTCAGTAAAAAGGACATAGAAATGTGGTTATGGTTTATTACTGCTCAGTACACAACACAGTAATAAGTACTTTGCAATGCTTTGTCTTTGTTATCGTAACTTGCATTTAAAGGGAGACTAGACAGTTTTTGCTTGATTTTAGCACCCCCTAATGTCTGTTTGTAAAACTGAAACCTATCTCTACGTTGTGCGTTCATCTTTTTAACACCTTAATCTAACAGATGAAATGTCTGCCGGCCTTCCTTAGTGTCTAGAGGAGTGATTCATCTCTGAATTAAACAAATCAGCTGGCCCGTGTTCATAATCTAAAACATGCAGGAATCGTGTTTCTACAGTCTCTAGTCCCAACAGACAGGACTGGCAACTGTGTAGCTGCAAGTGGAATATGCTGGACACACAGGGCAATGTAAAGGGTTATTTTACCACATACTGGCTCAAAAAAATATAAAAAAAAATATGAAAAGCCGCAAAGTATCCCATTAAGTGAATTCTACCTTGTAAGCATTAGAATTAGCTAATTCTGTGCACTTATTATTTTAAGTGCATTTGGTTTGCACACTTTTTTCTGGTAAGTTGAACTAATCAGACTTTACAGTGTTTATGTTTGAAACAATTTGGTGTGAATTTTATGTGACAAAACTCGACAAAATATGACCTAAAACCATCTGAAATATGAAACTTTTCCTTGTTTAGTCAGTCATTCAGGCCCAGGGAGATGTCATCTCCTGTGACCCACACATCTGGTCAGTCTGCTTTGATTTCTCGAGCTTCTGACTCCCCACAGCAGCTTTAGGAGGATTTCAAACTGTTGCACTTGTCACATTTTGTTTGGGATTCTGTAACATCAGCAAACGTAAGCTTATTTTACATTCGCCGTCACTTCCACAGAGTCAAGAGCTTTCCTGGCTCTCCTCGTGCTCGAGTGTGAAAATCCTCACAGTACATGAAGAAAGGGCTTTAGCAGCCTGGCAAGATGTGAAAATTACTTCACATATTGTGGAGAAGGGTGGAAACTTGGAGACATTTGGTGTCGGGAGCAGAAAATCGTCTGAAAGACATTTGAAAGCAGTGTAATTTCTGTCTGATTCATGATGGGCTGAGTGGCATTAAATCATAGATGTGCTAACAGCAAAATGGGAGAAGTAGATAGTGGTTGATGCCTGCTATTCTCGGGTGCTGCAAGCATTGACAGTGCTAACATCCATAAGGGCAATTAGCTTCGGAACACAGGTGCTCTGCATTTCAGATGTTCTGTTCAAAATATTCTAAATTTCCACAGCACTCGGATGGAAAACCCGACACCAAAATGGAATATAAGCAGTGGGGCAGAATTAAATAGAGCGTAAACTTAATTTCATGTTGCCACAATTCATTCGATTCATATGGGCTTAATAGTATTGTTCATTTTCTTGCATATTTAGGGGTGAAGTGTTCGCACCTGGTTATGTCTGGGGGGCATTAAGTCTGCCTAATGAAATGACTCTATCCTCTGTGGCGTTTTTAATCTATTCACTGGGAAAGTAATTGACAAGTCCACAGTATATGCATTAGGATAGCTCCGGCTCCAAAGGACAGCTGTCACTAAAGCAATTAAAATGACAAAGGTTCATTAATTCTCTCCAGTTTTCACCTGATATGAAACAGTCACAATGAGTGCGTTTTCATTTTCAGAAGAGTAATAGTGTTTTGAGAGGAGTAATTTATTTGTGATTCAAAAACAGAAGAAAAAAAAAGGCAGAGACACAAGCAGTCGTCGTAGTCTGATAGAGGCCTTATCACGTCAATACCTCACAAAACGGTGCCCTCAGGATGCCTTCCAGTCTACAGCGGGACATGATCTGAAATGACAATTTGTTGTTTTCTTTTAAAAACCAGTTACTTATTATTTCTGCTGTGATGGCGACAACAGCGTGTGATTTGTTTACAAATGAGGCGCATCAGGCTGTTTTGCGCTCAAACGTGTCGGCAGAGCAAACGTCCTGTTAAATGTACAAAATCAAACGCCTCATTTTTCTCTGCGGTTCGAGGTCACGCAGAAGCAAAGCAAGACACAAATAATTACCGCGCCAACCACCTCTGACATCACGAGAGCAGAACCCAAGAACTTTCTAATCCAACTAAATGTCAAAGCAATGTTCGCAGCCCTCCCTCCGTGTGATTCTCCGAAGGCTGCCAAAAGGCCAGTGGTTAGTCATCTGTTTACTCCTGCAGCTGCTGGGTGTCACTGGGCCTCTGAAGGAGAAATCCCATGATTCTGTCTGCCATTTCTGACAGCTCCCACCCAGAGCACATTAATCAGGGATTGTGGGCAAGCTAGGGGTTAGGCAGCAGGCGAGGATGGCTCCGGCCCAGGACAACTGAACCGAGGAATCTGGGTCCAAAGATAACCGAGGCGTCCAGCTCTGCTGAGAGACGACGCGTTCGCTTTCATTCAAATGGAAGAATTTAGCAATTTAAAGAACACCAGCAGAAATCTATGAGAAATTTAAATAATCCAACCTGCTGTCCTTTTTAAAGCTAGCAAGCGATTAGCTCCAGTGCTAAAATTCAAAACACTGAACTTGGTGCAAACTGATAAGTGATCTTTTCAAAAATTTGATTTTAAATTCAAACTTAGAACATAAAAATTCAGAGTTAAACAATACTAAAATTATTTAATAAACACACAAAAATTCGGAAGATTGTACATTTTTGCCCCAAAACTGCATTACTGAGTAGATTTTTGCATCTCTGGGCAAACAAGATGACTATATAGGCACATAATAATTGATCAATGTATCATTATGTATAAGTCAACAGAATAATTCAGTAAATACTGAATTTTGAAAGAAAACACAAGGAGAAAACAGTTACTTTCTAATTATTTACACATTTACTGTAGAAGCCAAAGCTCGTTCGGTTAGGTGTTAGATCTATAGATAGATAGATCCATAGATATCATCATCATCATCTTTATTTATAAAGCACTTTCCATCAATGAAAGACTGAGCCAAAGCGCTGTACACACAACAAAGAACCATGCAGTGACTAAGATAAAACAAAACGGATTAAAACAACACAGGTATTAGTTAAAAGACAAGGTAAGAATGACTAAAAGAAGACTAGTGGAATGCCATGGTGGAAAAATGGGTCTTCAACCTGCTCTTAAAAACCGGCAGGGAGGGTGCTAGTCTGATCTCTAATGAAAGGTCATTCCATAATTTGGGGGCCCAGACCGAGAAAGCCACTTTTGAACCACTTTAGCTGACTCTTGTTGGTAAGGAGGAGCAGCGGCTCTACTTTGAGCCCCTCACCTGTTATGAGGCTGAGTCCGGCCACCCCATAACTCATTTCAGGTCCTTGTATCGTGTTCTTTTGGTCTACGTCTTGTGACCATATAGTTGAAGACTGGAGTGTGGTCAAACCAGTAAAACTGAAGCCCTTTTTAGAAGACACACAATGTCGGCCAATCAGTGTAATACTGCCACCAGAGTGTGTCTTATGAATGCGCCGTGGCAGCATGGCGATGTGGGAATTTTGCAGCATTCGTGCTGTCACGCTTGTAGTAATATTACTGCAACACCTGACTTGTTACATATTACGCCTTGGCGCAAAAGAGGGTGGTCACATGGGAGGTTACTGATGAGCTTCGACTGGAAACTATAAAAAAAATGAAAGTAAACACGGTCAGTAAGTTTCGCTTTTGTTAGCAGAACCAGCGAGACGATAAACTGGAGCGACGCAGAGCTCCAGGAGTTTCTCTCCACTAGATCTGGAGCTCAGATCATCTGACACTTCACGGTTCACTGTGGCGGACAGACACTTTTAGGAGCAGCTTGTGGAAAAACGTAAGGAGTGGAACTTCAATCACAATAAACAGCAAGTCACATCCAAGCTAAAAGGAAGTCTGTGACAGTGCAGAGACCGCCCCATACCCCGTTTTTACCACCATTGCATCAGTTGTTTATGAAAAGGACATGGTTGTGCAACATTATCGCCACGGTCTGACCACTAATAAACCACCTAAGGCTCCCTGATGTCGCCTCAGCTTTGTGGCAGTGGGAGATGAGCTTCTGCCGTCTTGAATCTACTCATAATCAGTTGATGCAACAACTAGAAACATTGACACCACTGTTTGCTTTGTGTTTGACATCATTCTGGTCACGTTGTTTTCAGTTGTGCACCAAGCTGCACCAGAATTGCTAAAGCTAGCTGGTGCTACAACATGTTAGCAACCAGGTGATTCAAAATGAAAAGCAGTCTAAAGGTTTGAACAATAGGATTTGTGACATGGAAATGGAACGGGAACGGGTCCTGCTTGTGCGAGCAGCTAGAAATCACTTTCCATAAACTAAGGTTAATTACAACAGGAAGCTTTGTCTTTGTGTTTGTTTTAAACACGTTTTTTGCTGCTTGGGCCCAGACAAAAATACATAATAATATGTTATTACAGACGTCATTCAGCAGCTCTCACATCCCGACGCGTCGCCGCCACACTGTTTACTCTGGTGAGATTATGTGCATAATGAGTCTGAATTGTCTGCGCAAAGTGCTGCTTTAATTCTTTGAAGCTTAACAAACTGTCCCTGGCACATTTGTGTAGGGGTGGCAGGATATCAAAGTCACTTTATTGAGATGAAAGAACTGGCCCAAACAGCCATCTGAGGCATTAGTCATTCCTTCTTCTCACTGACAGAAACACGCTCTCAATTTACGAGTCAGGTGTTTCCAGTGATTTCTGCCAGCCTTGTTCCTCCACATCATAAATTCCTCTTTATGCTCACCCATCCCGCAGGCAGATGAGTTCCTTTGCCCGCCTTGCCAGAAAACACAGCCTGCGTTGGCATATTGGATCTGGTCCAGGCTGCTATTAACAACGTGGTGCATATGATGGTGTACACTGTGAAAGAGCACTGAATTTAAATAGACAGCGGTGATTGTGCCCCTAAGTGCACATTTTTACTTTTTTTCCCTTCTTTTAATACAGGTTTCCTATCGGCACTTTAATTCATTCTCTATTCTGTGGTGTTGACTCTGTAGAGCTCCCACTTTTACTCTGTTCATTTTCTGTAAACGCCTCATGTGGAGCCACTGGGTCCCAATCTATGTAATGAAGCTTTAATAGCCAATTGCAACGCCCTGTATCATTAGCAAACGTGTTAAGTCTGATGCAAAAGCTGCCTTTTTGTTTGATAACCAGAGGTGCAAACGTTTGATAGGTGGGATATGTGATTAGCGCTTGCTGTTTTAATGTATCTTCTGTCTCCTTTGGAGCAACAATAGCAGATTTTGCCACCTCTCACGTTTTAAGATTGCTTGTTCTGTTGCAGCCTTTATTAAATGAATAAATAGAAACAACATAGGTTTTCTCCTACTGTCCTGATAGCTGGTTTTGAATAAAAACTGGCCACAGTGCATCAGAGCTCAGTGATAACAGTGAAATAAAGATGCAATAATTAGATATTGTTGTGCTCTTATCAAAGTAAGAATTGGGTAAATGGCCGACTAAACCCAAGAGCAGTAAAGTAAGTGAACAATAACGTAGCAAGATTGTGGATGTAAAATGGTACTGCTGACAGTAAATTGGTTGTGTTGGTGCCATGTTTCAGTAGGAACTCTGTTCATTTATGTACACACGTCTGTTTGTAAAGGAAAATACACTTCAGCTAATTTTGAAGTGTGTTACAGTGAAAATTATGAATTATCATTTCATCACTTCGATAGCCTCCCAAAGGCTATCAAGTTCAGAAAAATACAACGTTCAAGACTGAAAAGCTCATGGCTAGTTCAAGTGCAGCCAAAAAACAAAGACAAAAACATCTCCAGTTTGCTAATCTTTCTAAAGATCTAGTTCACTTGTTTACCCAACACATTTGCAGTGTTCTCTTAGCCTAGCAATTTAGACAGACAGTAGTAGAAGCTAACTGATTTAGCTCTGCAGGTCAGCCTAGCCACACTCCATCAGAACCTTAGCAGGCCCGAACAGTCTTGTGTCTAGCCAATCACAGCGCTCTATCGGTTTGGTGGATGGGATGTTGCTGCAACTGAGCGAAAATACAAAGATGGCGACAACTCATTTGAAATGGTTTTAGCATCAACTTCAGAATATTTAGACTTGGAGGTTTCTTTGAGACAAGAGCGGATAGAGGTACTTAAGTCCTTTATTTAGAAAAAGGATGCATGTGTGTCCTCTTTCCCAGTATGTGGCGGGCTGCATAGCTGACTAACATCTGTAGGGGTGAGTACCTTAAGTTGTTTGTTGTCCAATTGAAAGAAAACCATACCCTTCCCCACGACCTGTGGCCGGCCTATATATTCACAAATATAGGATGGTTTGCCAGGCTAGTCGTCTCAAGTGTAATTCAATGCATTGTGGGTTGATTTCTGTGGGAAAATACTCTCACGCTCCAGTTTCAGGAACTAGGAGTGAGCCAGAGAAGAGGTGAGCTTGAAACGAAAGGATTTGGAGTTTTATTTCCTGATACTCAGACATCTCACCTCTAATTTCAACAAATAACACAAGCTTGAAGGAGTTCTGCCATGTGCTAATGCTAGCGGTTAGCTTATAATAGCCAAGATGCACTCTGCTGTTTCCTGGACGCTAAACCAAAAACAGCCCTCCTGCTACAAGCCAAGATGGGTGTGTCCATGAATGCTAACTTTCTGTGTGACATAGAATTGACTGGCTTTTCTAATCTGAGCATTTCCCTGCCTGCTTTCCTTTGGCAGAAGACTATTTTCACATTTAGTGTCAGAGTAACCGAGCATATTTTTTAAATAACGTGTTACTCAGTGCTCTTGCTGTTCCTGCACACATAATTTTAGAAACATTTACCTCTGCTTTTGCACTAAAACATCTCATTTCATCACTATGATTATTTACAGGGATAAATATTACTACCAGTGAATGCAGCACTCATGGTGCGTTCAGGGCTCAAGTCTAGCAGGATTCTTTGATTATTTACCAAAAATAATTTAGGATATTTGAGCATTTTTTCTACTTTAAGAGTAATGTCTACATTTTGTAGTACATTGCAAAATAAAAAAAGTATTTACAATTTATAATGCTGCTTTAGAGTAACCGCAGTTGAATGTGGGTCCATTTGGAGTAATCTGATGACCATAAATCATTAACAACCCTAGAATTATGTGTAAATAACATTGTAGTGGGAAATTGATGGAGAAGGTGTAAGCATTTATAAATACCATTTTATGAACTATTATGGAATACAGGATTGGGACAGTTTTAAGAGGGCAGCAAAACACTGGGTTCTTAGCTGTTCTCTGACTAGCCATTAGCACATCAATTCTGAATGTTTGCCAGTGCTGTTTTTCCAGTATGCGGAAAACACCTGCAAGAGGTGAAACAATAGTTATTTATAACTGATGAGAATGACAGAAATATCCCATTAAAGTCCTTTTTCCTGAACAGATGCTTCTCAGACAGTAATCAACAACTGATTAAATACCAATCTATGTTTAAAGTGGCAGTGCATAGTTTCCTGCCTCTAGGGGGCAGTGCCTACATACATTTCAGGGCAGTTTCATACCATATCACCGTGACTGTCGCCAGTTTAAAAAAGCATTACGGTAAACGGTTCTCTACCAGCTGTCATTTGGGAGCAGATTATCATCGTTTTTTTTAGATTGAGCTTGTTCTTTGGAAATAAAAGCAAAATTTAAAAGCATTGCTCACTTTTAAAAAGCTGCACAGAAAACGATCCTCTCGTTGTCCTTGATCTTGTGTGACTTCTGGAACTTTTTATTTATTTACTTCAACATTTACTTTCCCATGTTTGATCTGTGGTGAGTTCTCCATAGGCGTCTTTCACCTTGGCTGTAAAACCTCCGTCACATTACACAGAATTAAAACAGAAGCACTATTTGCTTTTGTCTCCTGCCAGGATTTTGATGTGATGAAGATTACTTTTGACAGACAATATAAATATGTGTTATTTAGCTGTTTACCACATTGGGTTCATGCATGAACATGGATGAGAATCCAAATACAATATCAGAGATGTATATTCACGCTAACAAACCACAGTGCAGAAAATAATACCACTGAAATATGTTTCCATTATGCCCTCTAATGCATACTGACAGACTCTTCTCACTGGCGCTGACATTTACGTGTTTGTGAGGATTACCAGATTGACTGAAGAAGACACAAAGCATGATTGAGACGGAAACACGCCATCAACATAAACGAGTAAATTAGCTGGAAAGAACATTAATAAATCAGTTTTCTGCTCTTTGTGTGGGATCCAGAATATTTACATAAATACAATCAGCATGTTTCACAGTTGGCTTGAGAGTTGTCTTTCGATGTAAGCAGCTATGCATATAATAAAGGTACGGCAAGCCTGGAAACGCTTCCCTAAATGCTCCCGATGACCTCGGGCCAAGGCTGCTCATCGGAGCCTTATTGGTTTTGTGATGAGGATATGTTAGTTGTAAAAATGTCTGAAGTTGGACTCCATTTTCTTTTGAATGTTCTGACACCACTTAGGGTCCGACAGCTCACTTCTGTGTCGTACTTCCTGTCTGGTCATGTGATTACCCAGTGGGGAGGTAGGGGGTGTCGCTGTGGTAGTTGTAGTCTGGACAAACCTTCTGCACCAGTTTGTAGTCGGTGCTGTAGAAGGTGATGAAGATGCAGATGACCTTGAAGGGCTTGGAGCACAACCAGGACACATGGCTCTGGGTCTGCTCCTGCGGACAGCTTTGCGAGGGGTCGTGGGCGCACAGCGAGTTCCTGGTGCCCTTCTCCACCTTCTCATACTCCACCCTGCAGTTGAACAGCTTGGTTTCCTTGGTCTCCAGAGCGGTCTGCTGCTGCTGCTGTTGGTGATGGTGGTGGAAGTGCTGGTGCTGTTGGTGGACCTGGAACTCCACGGCCTTTGTCGGAGGAACAAGCCCCACGGAGACGTTGCCCTGGCCGGTTGAGTTGTGCCGAAAGTAGACGCTAAACGTGCCGTTGCCGTGATCCACAATTTTGCCCGTGATGAGCAAGTTTAGCTTCACCGTCTTGATGTTAGAATGGAAGTCGCCCCAACCAAACATCTTCTTGAACTTCCCAGTCTTGACGATGGGCCTGCGTTTCGTCCTGGACCGAGGGTCATTGGACGCCGAGGTGTTGTAGAGCCAGTTCCAGTGCTCCTGTTTAGAGTAGGAGTCCGCATCGTCATAGTTCAGATCCAAAGCGGTGAAGTTCCCCTTCCCGTAGAGGGTTTGGGACAACAGGCGGCTGATGGACACAGATTTGCTGTTTTCAGTCCAGTAGGTCTTCACCTTGGATTTTGAGCTTTGTCGGAAGTCTGAAGCTCCTGAATGCAGCGAATCAGCACTGGTTGCCTGGAAAGACAAAACGTAATGGTTAGTTCAGACCACCCTGAGTGCTTTGATGTCCAATAAAGTTATGTGAGAATCAACAAAAATATTATAATAAAATAAAAAAAAAAACCCTCATTAGAAAGTTTTTACCTTTTTTTCTAATAGCTTGTTATTTGGGGAGGAAAAGATATTTGTTGTGTTTTCATTGACATAGAAAAAGCTTTTTAAATCCAAAGACGCTTTGGGCTACCCAAATGCTTTTGTTGTTGTTTGTTTAAAATCTACAGTAGCCAAGAAGGGACAAACTTCTGTTTCAAGACACCCATAGTTTGTTATGATTACTTTTATGAAAAAAGTAAGCCAAATATGCCAATTTTCAACATTTAGAGACTAATAAGTTCTGCAGGAAAACTGACAGGAACTGTAACCTTTAGTGACAGTTTTATTCATAATTGTTGACCAAATATGAGAGACTGACAGTTTAATTCAGAAAAAGAAAGAATATTTGCAGCACAAACATTCTACCTGTCCACTTTTCAAAGTAAAGATACAAAATACATGTCCCTGGTATTTAGTGTACACAAAGCTGATTATTTGCCAGCTATAGAGACCCAAACAAACCCACTAAAGCAAAAAATACAACACATTATTTTAGGGAATTCAATAATTGAAACCAGCTATATCTGTGTAAAAGTTGCTACTTGTAAATAATAAATCAATTTTTAACATATTCTCAGTAATAATGCAAAACAAAACATTCAATTGATTAGAAGTGATTAAACATCAGGCTACATTTTCAAAAAAGAACATTTTAGTTCGCAACGTTGATGTTTTATCTCCACAAATAACAGAAGCCTGGAGGAGTTCTGCTGTGTGGTGGAGTTGGTAAAGCTAACAGTTAGCTTCTAGCCAAGACGTTTTTTGATGTTTGCTGGACGCTAAACTAACAACAGCCTTCCCCACTGAGAGCCAAAATGGGTGACTCCATGAATGCTAAATTTCAGTGTAACGATCTACGTGGTGATCTGTGTGGCTTTTCTACTCCAAACATTTCACTATCTATTTTCTATCAGCGGCTAATGCAGGACAATAGAGGTAAAAGACTATTTTTATGTTCAGCCTGCACATGAAGAATTGCATATGTAGAAAAAAATGGTTCCTCGCATCCACATCAGCCCATGTGTATTTATACATACTGAGACCCAGCTGGTCTCTTCAAATGAATTATTTATGCATCAAACGAACAACAAAGCAAACAAAAAAGAAGAGAACTCCAGCCCAGGCGGTCAGCACCTGTAACAAATCATTAATGCTGTAACCTCACCTCAAAATGTGTGAAATGTCTTAATCAAGATTAAAGGCGTATTTCTGCCGTGCGCGGAGATGAACGACGAGCGTCTGGGCTGAAGACGTGATCCAACAGCAGACTATTACCTGCCGAATGTGCCCTGAATGGATGATTGATGACTCATTCTGTCTCTCCTCCAACAATCACACAGATGAGAGAGCGAAGGTTTCACGCGCTCCCCGCTGAGGCCTATGACAGTGATGTCCAAACCGCCGCCCAGATACGTGACAGTAGATATCTCTGGTCCAAGCGTTTACATTTTGCCCTTTTCACCCTGCGATCGATGCTCTGGAGATAAGGCCTCCTCTCTTTCAGAAAGTTCACTGAAGGACACTGTAGCAGCGTAGGTCACGCTGTGTACAGCGCCGCGGCAGCGGAACTGTTGCAGGAGTTGTGATCCTCCTCCGGAGCGTGGATTCATTTCATGCACTCGGCTTCAGAGAGCAGCCGTTTGGAAGAAGAAGAAAAAAAAAGATGGCCTCCGGTTGTTTTGAAGAGGCCTCGATGACAAATGTTCTGATGAGAACAAACCGTGATCTCTGGCACTGTGATCTCTAGAGCCGAACGGTCTTTAAACGATACGCTGAGTAAAATCAAAACAGCCAGAAAAAAATAAATAATTCCTCAAACATTTGCTGCTGTTTTGCTTTTTCTTTCTTTTTTTTTTTAGAGATAATATGAAAGCTGTGAAACCCTCACGGCAAGATGTTTGCAGTGACAAGCTGAAGGGAAGCAGCGATTTCAATGGTTTCCTCCCGCAGAGGGGCGGTTAAACCGGAATAATGAATGCTTCCTTTTATCTTTTATTGCTAGAAACCAAAATCTGCCTCGCTGCTCATATTTTGGAAAATGTAAGTTAGTATCGAGGGTTATTGTGTTGGGGACTTTTATCAGGTGTACAATCATTTGAAGTATCAGTTTTAACGCTGATTACATTGTTTGGATCATTAGATTTTTCCCACCAGAGAATATTTTTCCAAGGTCAAAAAGGAAATAACCAACAACCCTGCGTCGTGTTTAATTTATCCAAGATTACTTCCAGTAATCATCAATGAATGAACTCTGTCTGGAAATCCACACTGGGAAGCTCATCAATTTCTCCTGGCTGTTCCCATTCCGAGTTGTTGAAAGGTTGTAGTCTCTAATCACCAAATGAAATATCGTTTTGGAAGTACAGTAATTACTGATGCTCATCTGTAGCCGGGTTTCAGTCTCTGCGGAGTCCCGAAACCAGATCAAGGGATATTAGGGAAGAGCTGTGAGCCGGTTTAAACGCCTGTCAGGCTAATCAGCCGGAGAGGAAGTTGTGTTTGTGGAGACGCAGCGTCTTACTCTGCAGATGTAAAGAATCTGCTCTGAATCTAATCCTGATAGGATTTACATCAGGAATTCAAACAACATTCCTGAATTCTCCACAACTTCATGCTTTGAGTAACTTGGTAATAGGAGGTGTGGAGTTTTTGGGAAGGACTTCACCGCTTATGTTTTCTTCTCTCCAAGATGATCAAATTTCACAGAGCACATCCCAAGTGTGTGCCCAGTCATCCCGAGTCCTAATTCCCAGTGGCGGAAGCTCCGCTCTGTTGTCGCCAGCGTTATGTTTGGTCCCTAAACTGTGACATGCAATTAGCTTTCATCTACAGCACCTGACAGTCGTTGGATTAGAGGCACATCGACAGAGAACCCCACTTCATGGATTAGAGCCCAACCTGTAATCCAGCCTGGGGAGATTAGGCAGATCAGAGGCAGTCCTGACTGAAGCAAGGTTTACATCCGGAACACCCCGGCTGACTGCACCAACACTCTGAGGGGCCAAGATTTACTTCTGCTCAGCTGGAGAAAAACTCAAAGCAAACAAAAACGCTGGAGCGACGCACAAAGGGAGTGTGTGTAGGCGGCGTTAACGTGCCTGACAGAGATACCAGCTAGAAACGGGACGGAAACGACAACAAACCTAAAGGTCAACGTCGCGCTTTGATAACTTTGGGCTTAACTGATATTGGTTTGTCAATAAAAACAGGGATAAACATAACCCACATCGTTAAAGGTGGAATCAGAACCACCTTTAATTGCCTTCATTATTAGCTTTAGCGCCACATTAAGCTCCATAAACATGAGCAAATTAAAATTTTCATATCCTCTGAAAGTTTTATTTACTTACATGAAAAAAACAAAAATAATTTAAATGTTTTAGAAGAAAAATAGATCAGGTGGATTCTTGTTTGGATCGTTTAACTTTTCCTGGAGTTTTGTCTTCTGATGTTAAGCCAGATTCACATCTAACCTGTCATTTTGAGAATGGCACATAGTTATGAATCTATTTATCAATATTTAGCAAACTAATTCATCATTATTTCCCATTTTCTAATTGATTAAATTAGCGAAAACTGTTTTCCAGCCATGAAAAATGTGACATAAATCACACATCTTTGGATAAATCCAACATTTCCACTGAAAAACTCAACATTTTCCAAATGATGACCCAAGAAGGCAGGTGTTTGTGATCCGAATGAACAAAAATCTGATTTAATGGAGGAAGAATATCTAGAGGATGTGTCTGAAGCTTAATCAGAGCATAAAACATCTCAATAATTATGGAAAAACAAAAATACAATAGATCAGGTATTTTATTTTATTGCTCCTCATTGGGGAAAGTTGGTGTAACAGCAGCGAAGTCGATTCACAACAAGAACAACAAATATGAGGTTTTAGAGTGAAAAAAAGTATATACCGTAAATCCTCTAATACAGGCCCGGGCCTGTATTTGACTCAAGCTCATCAAGTTCCAGGCCTTTATTGGGAGGAGGACCAGAATTAGATGGTCTCAATTTCAATTTGAGCAAAATGAACTAATGGTTCGCTGGAGTTTTTGACAATTAAAATTGCGCCCACATTTTCAAAGTTAAACACATTTCTTTTAACAACGGTAATTTCTGCTTCAGCCCTCTCCCCCTCCCCCTGAGCAGCGGCCGCAAACTCACTGATGCGCCTGCAGCCTCTCGGAGTTCCTGCTGCTCTAAACATTAAAATAATTATTTCATTTTCTGTTCCTCACTTCTGATTACCTTCAATGGTGTCTGTTTGTTGCAACCACCAGGCACAAAAACTAACTTATTTTTATTTGACTATTTTTCTGTCCTGCCTGTTTATTATCTTCCTACATCTCCTCTCAGTCCTAAAGAAAAACTGCTACCTGGGTTCATATATATTCACCTCATGAGTTACCTTTGAACTGCAGTTCTAAAAGATCTACCGACCGCAAAAACAGCGGAGTGCTTGCCGGCCACATCAGTTAGGTGCGTCACCGAGGACAAAACAGGTGATGCGCCCCGCTCCACAGCAGCGAAATGCATCAGGCACAAATAAAAGAATAAAAGACAGAAAACATAAAAGGAAATGAGCCGACATGAACGATCGTGTGTTAAATTAGTTTTTGAGGTGGCGACACCTGATTTGATAATGTTACTGTGGCCGTGCTCAGGACACAGATGTCTGGAGCTTGTCAACAATCAGAGCTTTGCATGTGCAAGCTGGTTAAGGTTAGGATGGGGGCGAGGGGAAGGTTAAATATCAAGAGGGTAAAGGTCACAATTTGGTTAAATGTCCGTTTTACGGCGGGTGTCAGTAGCGAAGCTCTGGCACAGCGCGTCGCCTCCCGACATGCAGGAGCTTGTCACCTGCTGACAGCAGGCTGCTGTCTTTTCCGAGGACTGCATCTTTCCGGTCATTATCACGTGACAGCGACTAGTCGATGATAGGCATAAAAAGCCACTATAGAGCGGTGAAGTCGACTAGTGACTAGTTCATACAACCCCTGCTACTGCTCCCCAGTGTGTTCTGCAGCATAATCAGCACGTTCTCTTTGAACTTGATATCAAATTTTCGCCTCCTCTTCGTCTCCGCACGGTTAAAGTTACCCTCGCGGTCTATCACTGGCAAATCAAAAGTGAGACGATGACACAACCGCCCCCCGTACTTGCTTGTTACCACATTCCACCCGGCCACAATAAAAAACCGGCCATTATTCACCTCCGCCGACTCCGACACCGGCCAAAATATGATACCCGGCAGTTAATTAAATACAGGCTAATATTAGAGGATTTACGGTATGTAAATACGTTCACAGTAAAAAAAAATACTGTTGCAGAATGTTTGCATGGAAAAAGAACAAGAATGGAAAATTGTGTAAATGAGATATGAATGAGTGCAAATAGAAAAAATATGATGTGCAAATAAGAAAATGCAAACATGATTATCAAGTAAAGACTGTTAAGAATACCTGGAGCATCTGATAATATTTGTGATTTTTTAAACAATCCAAGCTAAATATTATGAATAAGTTAAAATGCACCCATTTAAAATGATGAAGAAGTGGAATAAAGGTAAAATGAATGACAACAAAAGCAGGAGATACATCATGTTTCCATGAACTCTTCTGGACAGAAGCTCTTCATAGAATCACTGAAACAATCATGAAACTTATTTGAATTGTCGCCACTGATTTCCATTTATTCCTACATAATGTGAGCAACAACTTTCATAAAACTTAAGTTTAAAAGGTTATCAAGAAACACCAGAATCAAAATGTGACATAAAGAGCTATTAGTGTCCACAAACTAGTAAAAACACTCATCACTAGGCAGGCACACACACACACACACACACACACACACACACACACACACACACACACACACACACACAGACACACACACACACACACACACACACACACGCACGCACGCACGAACGCACACACGCACGCACACACACACAGTGGATTATTTATACCCAGACATCATCCTGCAGCTGGGATCCTCACAACACCAACAAATGTGTAAACTCACATTTTCCAGAATGTCTGCAAGTTTGGCCTTTTGTGTTCTCTCCGTGCATGCGTGTAGTTAGCGTGTTCTCTGTGTGCACATGCGTGCTTCCTCCCACAGACCAAAAACCTGCATGTCGGATTAACTGACATTTTGAACTGCATCCTAAATTGTAAGTGACCTTGTGTAACATCCGCTAAACAAATAAACACAGACATGCTAAAAACAGTTTGCAGGATGTTGTGTGATTCAATTCAAGTTCACAAACTGTCCTGAGTAAAAGCAAGACCAACCAAGGACTAGGTCTTAACCCTTTCTGTTCTCCTAGAAAAAACACAAAGCATGTCTTCAGTAAATCTTTCTTTGATTTGGCATACTATGTGTGATAATGTAAGGTCAAATGTTCATTGTAATGTAAAATGTGGAGTTTCTATCTGAACTGGAGTTTATTAGTGTATTATTATTATTATTGTTAAGCTTAGTTCTTACTTTAAGCAAACTGAAGGCTTGAAAAGTGCTCTCCTAAATAGTTTACCTAAAAGGGTAAAAAATGCAAATATTTCAAGTGTTTTTATTGAATATGAGATGCTAAACTTGTTATAAATTTTTCTCTTCTATATTTGTTTTGTGTGTAACTTCATCATCCATTACTTTGTTCTTTTTTCACACAGCTTTTAAAATTTACATAATATAATACAATTTAGTAAAAAAAAATGTTTTTTTACCTGGCGTGTTTTGGCTAATGTCTAGCCACCGTCAGAGTTCCTCTCATTTTTCAAGTGATATCTGTGGTAAAATTTAATGGTTGCTTTTATGCATAAAATTACATTTTAAAAGTCTCATTGAACTAATTTTCATAATATTCACTAAAATTCAAGATCAGAATTAGTGAAATTTAAAAATTGCTCAATGTGAAGGTGTTCCAGCAGCTTTTCCAGTCATTTTATTAGTGACACAACCGCTCAAAACCCCCATTTAACTGCCTGTTAATATTATTCCTTTAGGTTTGGCTTACGAGGCAGAATCCTTCCACCAGATAAGAGCGAACAGCGCAGCCGTGCACAAGTCCTTTAGGAAACGGCTCTCAGATTGCCAGATGCAGCGTTCAGGCAGGCTTGTTGGACAAACCTAAATGCTATCTTCTCTTGGCGAGGTTGTGATAAGGCGCAGGCGTCCGCTCTTTGAAACAGGAAGATAAACAACCCCCGGCTTCCCTCGGGGAGCTCGGAGGATATTCTATGGGGCCGGACCCACGAGCAGCCAACAAATTTCACCTTTAATGGAACCGGAGGGCTCGTACACAAAACCTTGTGGGGAAGAATGAACGTGTGTGTCAGTTTTCATTTTCCTGAATGCTGCGGCGGCTGTGTGGAGGAGATTTGTGGGTGCGACAGGTTAGGTTCAGCAGAATGGAGAGTGACTGGGCTGATGGAAGATTTGGGAGCCCACTTTCCACTCCCTGATTGGAAGCCGAGAGTTCGGCTGAACGGGTTGGAAAATTAACAGAGTTGCTCTCATCTGAAAGATTTTATTTATCTTGTTGTCGGGGTTTGGACTGAGGAGGTTTGATCTGACCTTTGACCTCCACCCACATCATGACTTCTCTGGATCTAGAACATGTCCCGAGTGTGTTCTTTTGTCCTCTTCAGCGACAATGATGATCATTTATGCTGGATTTAATTCTCCCTGTGAGGTCCCCTCCCCTGCTGCCGGGCTGCTTCAGATGGGAGCGACGCCCACCGAGAGTTTAGGTTTATATTCTCAGAGTTATCAAAGTATCACCTGAGGGGGGGGGGGGGTCAGAGATGATGACAAATCACCAAGCGTGTCAAGACATCACAGGCATCTGCGGATGAAACTGAGTCATATCGGCGTGGCGCCGCTTTGTGAAGCCGGGGCACGATTACCACCATGACTTCAGAGGAGGATAAATACTCTACCAGGACAGGCTGCAGGATATTAGAGGGGGGCAGTTTAAAGAAGAAGATGGGAGGATGAGGAAAAAAAGGGGAGAAAAAACCCTAGCCACCAGTTTTCCAACTTACCCAGAGGAAAAACGCATAATCATATTATTTCACACACGACTTGGTTCAAAGGCGGCCAAAATAGTTTGTTAGGTTCCCATGGGTCTGTCAATCTGTTGAAGGAGCTGCGGGCGAAAGCTTAGGATGCACCAAGTACGAAACAATTATGATCATCCCATTAAAGCATAGCGAAGCAATTTGGCAGCCCAGTCTGGAAAAAAAAACATTCCTGTCAAGCGATGCTGTGAGATCAACTTCCATGATGCTACTGTACGACAAACAGAAGAGTCCCAACGATTAACGTTTGTGCTCGGTGACAACGGATGCACAAACGCACGATAGGGAATGCTGTTGTTCTCGGAATCGGAGAATTGGTTTCCTTTAAAGCAGGATGGGCTCCATAAAGTCAGGAAAAAAAAGAGAGAAAGGAAGCGAGGAGGAGGGTGAAATGATTAGTGCGCTTAGTCAGCTGTGAAATTGAGTTTATGGTTTTCAAGACGGTGAATTCAATTCGATAATGGGTATTAAGTTGTAGAGAATAATTAATAGTAATTGACTTCTTTCCATCACTATGCAAATTAAACACAGATAACACCACAGGAGCTTTTTAAGGCCAGTCAAGTTTGTGCGGATTAAGTTTAGGGAATTTTTATATTTTTTGTCAGTGAGGGGAGTGGCTTCTGCTCTGCTTTGATTGCTTTGTTGACGGATTCATCAGCTGGTGAGGTGTTACTGTCTCTTCAGGGATTAAAGGAATTGGGTTGTCACAAATGGTCAAGGCATCAAGCTTGCAAGCATTCTGGTGTATTTGTCATAATGGGCTCAGGCTGTTCTCCTTCCTGCTGTCAGATATACTTTTGCTGATGCAAATCTGTAAATAGGAGAGATGAAAAGGACGGATTGGATGGATGCTGCTCAGGAACGTGCATCAGGAAGGGATCTGTTTGTGGTTTGGAGATCTTGTAATACACAGACACAGTTTAAAATAATAATGGGAATAAATCATGAAGCAAAAATCATAGAAATAATTATCTGTAGTGTTAAAAATGACCTTAACTTTACCACATGAGCGCAAAAACGTGTATGAAAGCAGCAAAAGGCTAAATTCAACAACATTTGCTTGATTTTGCAGATTCGTAATTATTTTTAAACAATCTTCTGTCTTTCTGTTGTTAAAAGAGTGAAATATTCCTTCACAGGCGTCTAAAGAAGTAAAAATGCAAACATTAAAAGGAAAAAGGTCAAACCAGAATGAAATGTAACTCACCAGAGAGATGAGTGACAGCAGCGCAGCGGCGGCCCACAGACATGTGCTTTTCATGCTTCTTTGTGGAGCGTCTCCTCTCACGTCACCTGTCTCTGATCTTCTCATTTCAGCCAAAATAGGAAAAGAAATAAGAAAAAGAAGAACAAATCTCCTCCTGACTAAGTGAGCCGTTATCAGCTACAGAACTTGAGGAGGAATGAGGAGTGAGGGAGGCGGTCCAGAAGCGAGGAGATGGATCTTCTCAGTCTCATCCAGGAAGGTTCAGGTACCTGATGGTGAAACTGGGATGCTTTCAGGCGCCGCGCTGGGAACGGGGACGTTTGTACTTGTGGTTGTCAGAGTGGAGGGATGTTTTATACGGGGAGGGAGAGAGTCGGGAGGACAGAGGGAGAAATGGAGTGGAAAGGGGGGGAGGAGGAGCAGCCTGAGAAGCTCACATTATTGATTTTTGAGGAGCAACTTTTCTGCGAACATCATCCAGTCCTGACATCTAGTGGCAGTCAGCTGCAACGGCTTCTTCCTCTCAGTTGGAACTTTAATCCAGCGAGAATGAGGAGGAACCCTACTCTTCCTCATGTCTGCAATTTGTTTTCTGAGCTTAAAAAGCTCTTGTAATTAATAAAATAATGTGAAGTAATTTTCATTTATTTGATAAAAACAGGGTGAGCAGTAAGTTTTCACTTTTTTGGTCTTTTTACAATAAATATGTAAAATTAAAATAATTACTGATTTTTTCCAAAATATAAAAACATCTGTCTGTCCTGGAAAAGAAAAAGGCAGACGTTTAAAATGCAAAAAAAAAAAATTAGATTTCATTTAAAATCCATTTAGCCGGATAGAAGCAGGAAAGTGTTTGTTTTCCTAAACTTTTACTGATGAGTCCGACTCAGACATCATTAGATCCAATAAAACAACCTGATAACATCTTTTGTTTCCTGTCCAAAGAAATTCTCTTTCTACTTGTTTAATCTCAATGCCACCAGGATGCAGAGGAGGGCATCCTTTGAAAAACAAAATCAAGCACACACAGATTTTGTCACATTCTGCCCCTGCCTGCCTGTGTCTCTCTCCTGCCCTGATTAGCCCTTATTGTTCTCACCTGCCCCTCGTTAACCTGCCCATGTGTTCCTGATTTCCCTGTGTATTTATACCTCCCTCCTTGTTTCAGTCTTTGTCAGATCATTGTTGTTGTCCTCGTTCCTGCCGTGTTGTCCTCTTTCCTGCCGTATCCTGTCATTAAACCCATTTTTACTTTATCCGTGCCTGCATTCCTGCCTTTAGGTGATTCTACAGATTTTAGTGTTTGCAATATTGGCCAACAGTCAAATAATCTGAAATGACCCAGGAAGCATCAGCAGTTCATAAAGTGTTTGTTTTCTGTCTGATCCTGATGACAAACCAAGTTACAGAGCCCAAAATAACACAATCCTGTCAGATCCTTATTAGATTTTATCAGCTTTGCATGAACAGACTTTAGATAATGAGCTGATTTCTAGACTGTTTGTTATAAACTATAAATTTATTACTTTTGATCAAATCTGCTTTCCACATGTCATGTTTTAAGAAACAAATTAAGTTATGGTACCAGCTAATACAATAAAAAGCCTATTTTGCTCTGAATCTAAAAATACTTAAATACATAAAGTACTTGAGTACTACAATGAACTCCATTTTGACCCTTTTTGTCCAGCAACATCACAAAATACTCAAGTATTAACCTGATACTTCTGTTCGGGTATTTTTCTACAGTACGGTTTATACCTGCCAGTGAGCTCACTCAAAGCATCCGAGTCAAACAGGAAGTAAACTTCTGACAAGCTAGCTAGATTGCTAACAACGTTCCAGCTATTTTCTGGAAAACTCTTGTACAAATAAGTGATACTGATGTTTTAAAATGCTACATTATCTGTTTTTTAACTTTTACATTTAGTATGAGTCAAATCATTTAGTTTATGGTGTTTGTTTTAACTTAAACATTGTCTGAATTTCTATAGTGTACCAGAGCCGTATCACTCCGCACGTAGTATTTCAGAGGTTTCAGAAAGAAACAGCAAAGGGGTGGATCTACAGGGGGGCGATGAAAGGCAACATACCCCCCGGTCTGTATTCTTAACCACTCCTAAAAGTGTTGTCTGAATCAGTCCTGTTCAGTATTTTATTGTTTTTTTCCTGAATTAGTGGCACATTTTTTCTTATTTATCCGTAAAATGTTCTTTTAGACACAATCGTTTTCAAAGTGTTTTGGAGAATATTTAGTTAACTACATTTGCATAAAGGGCATTCTCAATTCAAGATGTATAATTAAAATGAAAGTAGGTTGATTTTTAACCAGTTTAAATCACAGAGTGGAATTAATTTTACATTATTTCCATGATTCTTAAACGTTTTAACATTTTCTACTATTTCATTGTTTTTATTTATTGAGCAGACTTGTGTGTTTTGGTCGTTTCGTGAGATTTGCTGACAGCGCTGGAAAATGTCTTTGAAACATCAATTTATTTATTTATTTTCTGGAGATTCTATTAGAAAAAAGCCTTTAAATCACCTTCCTGTGTGTTTTATAGTTGCACTCTGACGGGACTCCCAACTTCAGAGAGTTTCAGGCGAGATTAACAATCCGCTGGAAGGACTGAGTTATGTTTCGCTTTTATTCTTGGCTCCTTTTGTTTTCGTCTGCTGAGATTGTGGATTAAACATTTAAAATGACTCCATGACTCATGTCTATGTGTTTACAACCGTGTCCGCATTTATTAGCAGTATTTCTTTCCGTACATATGAACAACCTGTACAAAAGAATTGAGTCTTTTTTTTTCTATTTTTTTGCCCCCCACCCCCACCCTCTTATTTTGGGTCACAACATACAACAACAATCATCAATATCATACATCCACTTTGCAATATTTCAAACTAACATTTTCTGTGTGATAGAAAATAAATGTACAGGTACTTTTATTTGATTTTTTTCGCCCAAAAAATAAAAAAGTCAGTTATTTACAAATCTCACAAAAAAAAGTAAACATTCTTCACACATTTTCTTTTACACTGAACTCAGCAGAAGCACGTTCATACTGACATGTATACCTATTTGTACAGTTTTTCTTATACTTCATCTTCTTGTAGAGACTGAAAACAGTTGAGCGTCTACGATACCTTACTATCGCCACGTTTCCACTATAGGAGCTTCAGGGAGGGAGAAAAGTGACCGGGAGTTACGATGTCTCCATTCAAAATCGGCCCAGACGTCAGCATATCGTGTCTGTTGTTTTCGTGTTCTTAATAATACACAATATAGCAAAGTTTGTTGTTTTAATTTTTTCACTGAGAGTTTTGGCTCTCACTGGTGCCTTCCTCAGAGTGGTGGTGATGTCACCTCCTTGCTGTTTCATCAGCGGGCAGTAGAGGGCGATGCTTCCCTCTACTGCCCGCACCCTCTTTGTGGATAACCATGTCCCATATACACTCCATCTCTGTTCATGGTCCACGTCTCCTGATCTCGACTGCATCTTCAACCCATCGTTTGAATTTTTGGTGGAAGGCACCAGAGAGAGTTGAAGCTGCCAGTGAAAAAAGTGAAAACAACAAACTTTACCATTCTCTGTGTTAAGAACACAAAAACAATGGATATAAAGCAACAGAGAAAGAACGTAGCAAAGATATCATGACCGTTTTGGCAATGAGTAGTGTCACTGATCAGCGCCAAAAGGCAGGGCAGCCAACTCTCACGTACTGAGCGTGAGGCACATGCGTCTGCCTTCATGCGCCATCATGCAAGAACCTCCAGTTTCACATACTGCAAAAGCAATCTCGTGCCCCAGGAGGCCCGGTAGGGACACAACACAAGCCCCCCCCCACCCCCCCCCCACCCACCCATGGAGTAATGCAAAACTTGGCAACCCCGAAAAGGCATCCACAGATATTAATACCATTTTATTCTGTCAAAGTACGCCATCATTTCACCCACATGGGGGACAAGGAAAGTGGTCACATGGTGTAAAGTGTGGCGTTCAATGACCAGAAGGGGTATGGGTAGCACTTAATAATAAAGGTCCCTTTATTAACAATACTTACTGCATATTTAAGCATTAATAAACAAAAGATCCCTTATTTTTCCTGACAATTCATGAATTGTCTGCAAGGTTAGCATAAAGGGGGGTTGTTAATACATTATTTAATAGTTTATTAATGCTTAATAATGCAGGAAGTAATGCTAATAAAGGAACCCTTACTGTAAAGTGTTACCGAAGTATGGAGAGTGGAAGCTGCCACGTCCAATCTAACCGAACTGAGAAGAAGGCACAGCTGAAGCTTACGTCGCTGTGTGAACGCCAGAATTTTCAAGCTGTATACATAGTTCTGACTAAAGCCTGCGGCGACGTAGCGCTGACGCATTAGAACGCTTGCTAGCGGCGCATCTTTGGAATTCTCCAAAGTTTACGCCTGAAACTCAGGACATCGCCTCTGTGATGCCACCTTCACTATAACATCTGCTCTGTACTTAGCTGTTACTTATGATTTAAACAGTTAGTTGACTTTTATACAATGATTACGTTAAATGTCCATTATTAGCAGTTATCACTCCTTTAAGCACCTGCTGGCATCTCTATTCTGATCACTTTAGACATTGTAATTTAGAATCTGTAGGTTTATTCAGTTTAATAAACCTGTGTAAATATGTTTATCGCTGTTACCAGCTTACTGGCCTAGTGGTAGAGTGGCCTGGGACTGGGAAATAACAATAAAATCACAAGGCTTATTATTTTACCAAACACTTCATTGACAGCAAAGTACGTTGTAAGTTGCTCACATTTGAGAGACACGTAATTCTCCACGCGTAATAGAGACAACTTACTTCTTACAACCAATCAGCATGGGTTAACCATATGTCCCCCTCAGCGACTCTACCGGGCCTTTCCGAGGATAAACTCCATCTCAGGTACTCTCTTGGTTACTAAAGTGGCTCGGAAAATGGTCCCTTCAGCTGGCACAGTTTAATGGAGACATGCACATACCGAGAAGGTCTGGGAAAATTACCCATAAGTTCTGATAGTGGAAACAGGCCTGTCATGAGAAAGTTGTAGAAAATTGTTATATTTCCTTAAAACAAAAGAGAATTTACGGGTTTTGATGTTTCAGTCTGATATTAGGAGCAGTTAAATCATCAGTAAGGCAGAAATGACAGTTTGCATGTTGTGAATGGCTTCAGCTTTTCTATTTTTTATCCTTCAGTCTCTCCAAGATTTTTTTTTATTCAACTAAACAAAATTATCCGAGTTTGACTTCAGAAGAGATGGATAAAAAATAAAAAAAATACCTCCAGCTGATCTGAGAGTTGCATCTGGACAAAAATGAAGAGATAACACCAGACGAAATCTACAAATCACAAAAGATGTACTTTACTACAACCAAAAACTCTGCTGTGATAAATAAAATCTATACATATTATTTACTGGTGGCTGACGCTTGGGACGTCTCGGTGTTGTCCCTCTGCTGTGTGGTTGTGTTTGTGGAGGAGGCAGTGTTTTATGGCAATAGAAGGTAGAAGTCACATGTGCATATCATGCTGCACTAATATAGTGCAATGTAGTGCCTGAAACAAAGCAAGGGCAAACAGGCAGGCAGTAGTTTCCAGGCTTCTCCTCCATCAGCATCACACGGATCGGTTTTATCCCACAAACACAGGCTTGATTGCCTCGGAATCAAGCAGAAAAGGAGGAAAAAAATGCCTTCCTTTTGTTCAAGACTGGAAAAGAGATTTGAGTCAAAAACCCAGCTGAGGATCGAGGAAAAAAAAAAGAAGCATCCAAACCTTTTGATGGAGATTTTCCTCTCCCTCCTCCTCCTCTTCCCTGTGGTGACTTTTGGCAACGTTCAAACCGTCAGAGCATCCAAAGCCTCCAGCTACTCAGCGTTTTCAGGGAAAAGCAAGAAAAAAAACCCCGAAATTAGAAAGAGGATGGAAGAACGGAAACTCTCCTCTGCACCTAGCCTCTGGTCTCAGACTAGTTAGTAATCAGGGACATGTTGGGATAAAGAAAAGGCATTTGACTGAATAAGCTGGAGGTTCTGAAGGCTCTGGCAAAATAAAATAAATAAAAAGTGGAGTTCACAGAGCTCGACTCTGACTTCTTTGCTCTCTGATGTGTCCACTCAAACATCTGTGTCCCTCTCGGTAACGGTGGGATGAGGTGGGTCTGTGTGGCAGGGTGAAGTGCTCAGCGAGGCGTCTCTCAGAGGACTACATGTCCGTGTCCCCATCGTAAGCGAGAGTCAGAGGTTTTAGTCGGTTGTTCTGCTGTCTTTGTCTCTGAGGTCTCTTTGGCTTTTTGCTGTGAGAAAAGAACCAAAAAAGAATTAGAAATAATCAAATAGCACACGAGGAATGCATAAAACACAAAATGAAGCTGGAATGGGCAGCGGGAGGGTTTTAAAATCACGTTTGTTGGCCTTATAGCGAAATATGTGGATTTTCTGATGATGTCTGAATATTTAACCAACTAATTTTAATGGCTAAGTGATGCTTGTAGAGATTTATAATCACGTGATGAACAAAATCTATTTATACAACCTGTAAAAGTGAAAAAGTCAAAGATTTTTGCTGTGATTCTGCGAATCGTGACGATAAATTAGGGTTGGATGACAATTCTGAGTCTGAGCACAAACTTTTCCAGAAGAGCAAATTTAAACTGAGATGCTGAAACTGAAGCGTGGAGCTTCACTCTGACCTCTAATCTCAGAGCTTTAATCAATGCAATTTAAGCGTTAAAGCGAAGCTCCAAACTCTCCTGCGCCGAGCGCCAGACTCGGGTTTTCCATCTTTCACACTCGATTAAAAACACATTCCCAACTGATGCTGCCGCAGATCAGGCTAGAGACTGACAGCAGACTAATGGAGGAAAAAAAACCCAACCAGAAATATTCCGAGTCGGACAATTCAGCATCTTCTTCCAGTTTTTTTATTGGCAAAAGACCCCCCCCCCCACCCCCCACCCACCCACACACACACACTTTTTTGAATAACCAGTTTTCGCCCATTGATGGTTTCTAATTATTTTGACTGAAATGAGGTAGAACTTTGTGTAAATGAGGCCTATTTTCCAAACATTCCAAAAACAAAAGTAAAGTATTATTAACTGACCCTCCTCCCACCACTCAAGCCATTGTTGTCCCTAATGTTTAAAATCAAACTTAACTTACTTGCCAAAAACTTTAAACAAAAGCTAAAAGACAAACAGCTAACATCCTAGTTGGGACTTCTCCATCAATAAATTTGAACTTGCACGAGTACGTGTTGACGGAGACATTTTCCTTTTCTACTTCTCCATTGGTGCGTCAGTGTTTCAAATCAATTCCCCGACAGGACAGCAGAAGGCGTAGGCCTTTTCTGGCAGGTCCGTCTACTGCTGCTGTGGCGTTTCTGTTCAACAACAGTTTGCTTGTAAATGGAAATATCTTGAAGGAGATGTGAATTTAAATTGAAATTTCAGATAATTTTGCTGATATTGGAGTTTGTCTTTGTTCCCATTTTGTCAAATAAAGTTCTGAAAAGAAAAGCTTTTAAATGCCAATCCACTCAAGAAGAAATGGCCGACAGAGAGTGAGTTGTCATTGAGCTGGAACTGCTTGATCCCAAGGAATATGGAGCTAGGACTGGGACGATATTACATGTAACTTGTACCAAGTTTTGTAACTGTAACTTTTGTTTTGTAGCATGTAATTCTCGTTTTGTAACGTAACTTTTGGTATGTAACATGAAACTTTTATTTTGTAACTTGCAGAAAAAAAATCGTAGAAGTTTCAAATCACAACTGTCAAAACACACATCTCAGTCTACAGTTACAAAACTTAAATCTACTTGCTACAAAACATTTCTAATTCTAGCTTCCTTTCCAAAAGAACCAATGACAGGCTTTGTCTGACCTGTCAATCTTTGAATTCCTGTCCAATCATGGCAAAAGAGTGGGGCTCAGGACCAAAGAGCTTACATTCTCAGTATTTACCTAGGTGGTGGTAATTTTTAGAGAAATTAAACAAATGTAAATGAAGAACTTCCATTTGATTTCATATCCATGACACGTGATTGGCTGATAAGACAAAGCCTGTCATTGCTTCTTTGGGAAGGACGCTAGAATTGGGAAAAAATGTTTTTTACACATAGACTTGAGTTCTGTAACTGTAGACTGAGATGTGTGTTTTGAAAGTAATGATTTGAAACTTCTACACAGATTTTTTTCTGCAAGTAACAAAATGAAAGTTTCATATTATGTACTGAAAGTTACATGTTACAAAACAAGAATTACGTGATAAAAAACAAAAGTTACAAAAGTTACATGTTACTAAATATGAATATCATGCTACAAAATCAAATTTACAGTTATAAAACATTAAAAAATTTACATGTAATATTGTCCCAGTCCTAGCTCCACAGCAGAATGAAAACTTCTGTTACAAAGAATTCAAAAAGGGCAAAAGAGACAGCCGCTGCTGTTGCTGGGCCAACCAATCACAAAAGTGCGTTCTCTGTTGCAATCAATGGATAGTTAGAAAATTGGGCTCTCCTCCATCCGTCACTGCATACACGTTGGAGAGCCTTTACGTTCCTGGATAATGACGCTGCGTGCCTCCACACCCCCACAGATGGAGGAGTATAAACTAGGCTTAAGACCTAAAAATAACTAAATCACCCAGAAAATCACACATTTCACCACAAACAGAAATCATCTAGGAAACGCTGCACAGGGAACAAAAAGAGAAGAAGAACTAGTTGACAGGCCTCAAGGGATTTGTGAGCATCTATAAAAATATATTAACCCTTTGATGCATGAATTACGAAATCTTCAACCAAGATTTTTTAAACAATTTTTTTCATTCATTTTTAGGTGCGAATGAAACAAATTTCAACAAATATCTTTTGTAATGTTTTGTTAATTTACAAATAATTTATTACATGTCCACCTCAGTGGACAGCGTGCATTCTGAACATGAAATATGTTGGCTTGACTTACTGAAGTCCAAATGGAGAGGCTCAAATGCAATAAAGTCTTCAACAGCTGTGCTTAATAGCAAAAATAAATAAATTACAATTTTGAATACCTGTCCACTGTAGTGACCATTATGCATCAAAGGGTTAAAGGTATTAGTAGATTAATTTGCATGCAGACTCTGCACACACACACCAGCCATCTGCTGCTTTTGCCTCCTGGGACAAGAAAGACCTTTTAGAGGAAAGGTAAAGACATGATTTCTACACTTTGCCTGAGCTGCAGGATTCACATCTGAATGTAATAAGCTATATGATGTTCAAAAATACATTTAAGAATGACAGTGATGATAATATCACCACATTTCAGTTTTTTAATCAACTGGTGGGATGGTTTAATTAATACTTCTGAGCAGAGGAAAGCCAGAGAAGCGCGATGCAATGTTTTCTGCAGATCCTTTGAAAAGAAAAGTTTGGAAAGACAATCAGAGGAGAATGTGGAGGAATTTTTTTGTCTGGAAAAATCATGAAAAAAAGCACTTTTTCACCTGCTGATTTATTTCTTATTTTAACATTGTTTATAGCCTCATGTCAAGTTAAAAGCAAATTATAAAGTTTAAAATCCTTTAAACTAAAGAAAAATATAAATGAATGAAATTAATGGGAGGGAAATATCTTGTAATATCTTATTTTACCACAAGGGGGCAGCAACGTACCATGCTGCTGCTGGTCCACTTAAACATCCCTAAGGATACTGATATAATCAATAATATCTCCCTGTCTGCTGCTACTGAAATTCTAATAAACATATTCATGAGTAAAATGTGTTTTTGATACAAAAGACAGAACAAACATGAAAACAGAGTAAACAAAAACTGATGCCCTTTTAACATGGTATCATGAGCTTGGGTGTTTTCAAATTGCGTCACTGATTTTATTAGGAGTTAAATCAGATTAATCTGTTCATAATTTAGTGCATAAAGACCTCCAAGCATTTTCTTCTTGGTTTAAATAAAGTCCTGAAGGTTTATACCTTTAATAAGCTTCTTCTGTTTGATTTCTTGCCTTTTAAACACATTATTTTATGTCCGATTTTATGTCCGATGTTTTGTGGTTGACCCCGCTGCTAGTTTGACATAACATTTTAGCTGAGTTTCTATAAAACTGAATGGGTTTTAGGGCTTTTTTGCATTGGCTAACAGATTCAGTTTCATTCTAATAGTTAATCTCGTGCCGCTTAGCACTCAGGATATGTAATCGAGTTGCCTCTCAGCTACCGTGGACAAAAACATTTACCTCAATTTCTAAAAATCTACCTTTAGTAATTTTCTTCATGTTTCAGCTGTAGCGGTCAAATTTAAAGCAGAAATCCAGAGTTTTTTTTAATCAAATGGCACCTTAGAGGAGGAAAAATGCACACTAGCAGACGTCTAATGCTATTGGCTAATGCTGAGCAGCGAACGATTTAAATTGCACGGAGCTCTACGGGACAGGCTTGATAAAAATAAAAATGTCTGCATTTCCTGCATTATACAATGGTGTTAGATGTTCAGAACACAAGCCGGTGGGAAGCAGACTTCAGAATATACTTTTATGGCTTTCTAAAAAATCGTACATAATTCTTGAAAGAATGAAGACTTTGGATTGCTGCTTTAATGAAAAGTGAATCAGTTGTAGGTGCACATCTAATGGTTATCCTAAAATGTGGTCAGTGTTACCATCAGGCGTAAACACCATAGGCACCTTTAATTAAAGACACACAGATCAGATCTAGAGCACCAGGGTCTATAAAAACAAAAATCAGAGGTGAACTGGATCTACATGAACTAGGAGCTCTACGAGGACTAACGGGTTCTGGGGGTGATTCTCCTCACCTGCACCTTCACTCAGCTAGTCAGGCAGAAGATGGAACACGTTAGCAAAGCTCACAGGGCAAAATCAGGGTTATACTGGAGGGTGTGTTGGGGGCGGGGCCAAAACCTCCACATCCTCTTTAACTACTGTTGCTCTGAGCCATTTCTTGGCATTCAGGACAGGTGTAAACCATCTTGTGTGAGTTCTGACCCATCTGCCCCACCGTCCCGTTGGCGGTCGTCTCCTGGGCGTTAAGGGAGCGGTGCACCTTGACACAGAGGCTGCTGCTCCCAAACGGGGAAACGGGAAAGAAACGAAGACAAAAACCATGACGCAATGACAAGCTTTAACTCAAAAAAGGCGGGGGAACAAATGATGGAGGGTTGGTTTTTAAAGGATGAGCATGATGGTGACAAACATGGGAGATAAAACTCATCAACTCACCAAGCTAGGTATATCATAGACACTATGAAAATGAGGAGCACGAAGGCTCCAGCTGCTACACCGTACACCCACATCTTCAGCTTCCCATCTGTGGAAGAGGAGGTTTGTTGTTTAAAACTTCAGAAAACTCCAACCCAAAGCTACAAACAGCAGCTCTTCTCTTAGCTGACTCAGCACAAGGATGCACAAATAAGAAAGTCCAGCCAGTTTGGTTTTCTGTTGCTACTATTGACGTAAAAAACAAGGTAGAAGCAGCTGGAAAGTGTAAATGTCATCGTATGGGCTGATGGAAACGTTACGCACCACAAAAGCTGCTCATGATTCTCCTTGGCAGCATTTTTCACTATAAACAACCTTCTGGATGGATTCAAACGTTCTGACTTTTCTGATTGCTACACAGATTCTAAATCTGACGTCTGCACCTCTTTAAGGCTCAGAATTGGATTTTTTTTATATGTTTAGAAAAGGAGAATTTATTATTATTTTTTAAATAATCTAATCTGGTGAAACAAGTCTATAATTTGGGTCTATGTTAGTTAACTCTTGATGCTGATTCACTTGGTGACCTTCTTGTAGAGAAAGAAACACTTAAAGGTGTAGTTTACTGAAGAAAAAAACATGTTTTAAATTATTACTCCTGAATATAATGGATCACTGAGTTTTTCATGCTGGCTGAACATGAAAATAGTCTCCTACACCTATCTCCTGCATTAGCTTCTGATAGAAAATAGACGGTGAAACGCTAGGATCAGAAAATCCTGACAGATCTACGTCACACTGTCACTTGACATTCATGGACTCACCCATCTTTACTCTTGACACAGAAGGCTGTTGTTGGTTTTGCATCCAGGAAACAACAGAGAACGTCTAGGCTAGCAGAAGCTAACAATTAGCATTAGCAACTCCACCACATGACAAAACTCCTCCAGGTTTGTGTTGTTTGTGGAGGTAAAACATTAATGTTGCAAAGTAAACAGTCAGCGGTAGAGTCTCATTGCTGTTAGCCAGTCAGAAGTGAGATGTCAAAATATCAGAAAATAAGACTCAAGATATTGCCGCCTGGAGATCTACTCTGATCTAGCTATCTTCTAGATCCTGAAACAGGTGCCTAGGACTTTTTTTATCGAGAGTATGCCTTACAAGGAATTTATTCCAAATGTATTGATTAAACAAGCGAATTACACCTTTAAATGTCAAATTGAAGCAAAAACAAGCATCCTGTTGTAATTATGTCATAAACAGTATATTAGTTTATTATTCATTAACTGGAAGGAATCGCAAACAAATAAACTCAATCATTTATGTGTAATCTGATTAAACAAGTCTTTTAACCAGGTGGAAAAAAGCATTTCTTTAAATTTTTATAATAAACTTTCTCTGAATAAACCTGCATGTGTGATGCTTCTTTTGTCGGATTTATTTCATGCACTGTGAATAAAACTTAAATGCTTGTTACATTATACTTGATATCACCGTGGCTACAACTGTTGTATATAGTCACTTGTCTTTTATATATATAGATGTGTACAAATATAAATATATTATAATATTTTATTTTTATTTGTTTAGCTTTTTTTTTGCTACCTGCCTGAGCTTTGGGACCAATAAAGTCTTATCTTATCACAAACATTTAAGTATTTTTTTTCCAGATTTAGGTCTTGTAGTCACAAATATTCCTGCGTGTTGCACTTCAGGGTCAGAAACCTATGAAGATTCATATTATTTTAATATTTTACATCTTAAAAATTATTACAAAAACAGAAACTTTCTTGTAAATTTTTTACTCAGAAAAAACAACCCCACCAATTAATTTTTTAACACTTTTAAACACCTTATGAGATGTAATGTTTGTGTTAAATTAAATTAAATTGAATCCATGATTACTTGGTAGATCTGTGAGGTAATCTGACCTGGTCCGTAGGGCTGCAGGTACCAGGTCCGTCCACTGCGTCCCGGCTGGATAGTGGTGGGAAGTGTGGGGTTAATGGCACGACTGGTCTTCACGTCGCCTTTCTTATCTCCCGCCGTGGGGATCTCCAGGATGGGGATGGGGGTGCACTGGTTCAGCTCCCCAGCAGAGGACAGAACCTCTGTGTAGCCCTCCTCGCACATGCAAACACCAGCCTGCAGGGGGCAGTGCAGAATCATATTTGATTAGTGAATTAGAGCTCTAAAAGAAGCACGTGAAATTGCCTAATTTTAGTTTTAGGGAGATGTTCTGGTGTGATCACAGGTTGGATCTTCATTTGGTTTCAGCAGACATGTCTTTTACACATCTTATTTAGTTTTAGTCAAAGTAAATGAAAACATATCCCTCTAAAGACAATTTTAAAAAGGAACAAATTAGTTTATAAGAAATTGAAAAATGATAAAGATTCAGCGGAGTAATTATTAAGATGAACACTCTCCCTATTCACAGAGACAAACCAAGTCCTCTGAATAAAAAGGTGATGCTTCCACTTAAATGGGTCACATACTTTAAATGAACTGGTCTGCCACCCTCGAGAAGCTGTAGGTGGCACCAACTCTCCAGCTAACGCTGCAGGTGCAAATGTAATAATCAGTTTATCAAGTTTAGCACATTTTTAAGCATCTAAACTGAGATTCTGAGAATTTATTTCATATTTTCAAGGTTTCTGTAGCTGGTGGAGGTAGATTGCGGTGATAAGAAAAGGGTCAGAAATAAAAACTTTTTTAAAAATAACCTTTTCTTTCACTCTTGTAGGAGTGAGCCACATTTTTCAAACTACTGCAGTGATTTCACGTCATCTGGTGTCTTTTTTTATTCTAGTAAAAAGGATAGAAAAACATAAAAGCCACTCATCAGTCAAGTGAATAACTACCATTAAGCTCTCCAAACCAATGAGGTCACCATTACAACTTTATCAGCGCCTCCAGATCTGAACATGAACACACGTCTGATTAAAAAAGGATCAAGCTGGCTCCTAAACGGACTCGGGAGCAGATTTGCTCCTGTGATGATTCTGGTTCTGTTTGTTCTGAGGTTGGAAAAGTCCACACAGAATCTACAGCTGACAATCGGTATTTATCTTTAAGTCTGAAATTTCTTCAGAACCCACAAAAACTATGTATATAAAAAGAAAAATCAACATCATTGAGTTTGATTAGCCACCGCTAACACTTGCTCCTGATTTGGATGCAGCACAGCTGAGTGTCGCTATGGAGAAACAGGTTGTGCATTTTCCTGCTGCCATCATTTCATTCCCCGCTCCATTCAAATTCAATTCTGGCAGCGGAGTGCCACACCGAGTGCCATTCATCAAGACAACCTGCACCCCCAGCTTCAGGCTGCTGCTGTTATTCCTCATCCTGTTTAACTTGTCTTTGCCGTTGATCATGTTTGCCTGAGCGGTTTCTGCTTCCTGCATTATTGCCATGATGGGAACCCGCTCACCTTGGTGCAGAAGGACTTCGGCATGAGGCACGGCGGGTCACAGGAGCTATTGTCCATAGGAGGACTCCTCGCAGGACAACCGCCTGGAAGTCAGGACACAATATGAGGAAAAAACAACAACTCTAACATCTTCTGAAGCAGATGCACTGATAATGATTATTTATAGCATTAACCCTCTGGAGTCGGTCATATAAATAGACGTTTAGACCATTTCTAGTGTTTACCTTTATATTGTATCATTCTTTTCAGCACAACTCGCCTGTGTGAATATATTGTAGTCATTTCTTCATTTTGTCATTCTGTCTTAGCACACTGAACCTTAAAGTACACAAAAAAATCTAAATTTGAGTAGTAGTATTTACTACAGTTAAAACCACAAACATTTATAACGAACCACTTTCAGCACTCAGAATGAAACTATAGGGTGTGAGTAAAACACAAAAAAGGCCCAATCCAACAAACAACTGTTAAATGCAAGTTTTTTTTAATACAATGCAAGGCATGTCATTTCTCATGTAAAATTGCTGTTTTGCTAAAAATAGAGTTTCTGTCTGCCACTTCCAAAAATGTAAGCCACAAAATTATTTACATGTATTTACAAAGAAGGTGTCATGACCAGAAGCCACAGTTTATATGTACCAAACCTCAAAGTAACACAGGGGAACACCAGAGGGTTTTCAAATCCAGTGGGTGTCCTTCCTGACTTTGTCCACCTGGAAGCAACAATGAGCACACTCCCTGAAGCAGAAAGTCTTCCCTGCCTGAACCTAGCAACTATTTACACTTGATTTAGTGGTTGGGTGAACTAAATATGAATGACTTCGTGATTGGGTGATGTGGTTTGTATCTCAGCCTATAGGATGAGCTTGGTCTTGTTTTTTTTTTTCCCAGACTCTCCTAGCTTACGGTGTGTAGCAGCGAGATGAGACAGAGAACTCTGTTTGGAGGATTTCAGTACACATCTGCCACAGATCTTGACATGAATTATTTGCCTTAAATGTCTTACTTTTACTTTGATCAACATGTGAAATTACAACTGTTATTTAGTTTTAAGCCCTTTTGTCGAAACAACAGGGACGTGTCCAAATCTTTTAATACGGGGTGGCCCAGGTGAGGCACAACTTTGTGCATGGGTGGCACCAATGGTTATGCTTTTTGTTTTACCCCCAAGCCTTTTGTGGACAATGAAAAGCCTATTTAAAGGTAAATTAGTGTGGTGGCCCCTGGGGTGGCCAATCAGATTCCAAGGGTGGCACGTGCTACCCCGGGCTACTCCCTGGACATGCCCCTGCGAAACAAGCTGAAACCATGACGCTGAGTGGTTTCCTGTTTGCACAATAACAGGAGAAAAGCGACCAGAGTGTGGATTGACTCCAGAGGATTAATCTGTAACGGGAACATATCACTGTAAACTGAATAAGTTCACTGAACTCTAAATTTCTGAGGATAAAATTTTTAAGATAACTTTATTCAAAACTATAAGTTCACTATAACTTAAAAAATATAACCTGCATAAAATCAAAGCATTTAACTTCCTCCAACCTATAACTTAGTACTTAAGTAACTCAGAAAGTTTAATTTCACTAAACTTGCGTATTTCTTTTTATTTGAACGTTATTACATAATTTTACCAACTTAAAAATTCTAACTATATAAGCTCTAAATTGACTTATTAGTTGAATTTACTTAAAAGAGAGAATGTGGCAGGCAGGTGAAAGCATACTCTAACCCCAGCGCATGAGTTACACACCCATAGATGCTGGCGGCCAGTGAGAGTGGAACACCCAAAGCCAAGTAAAGAACATCTGGTGTGAAGCACCACAGTAATAATGAAAGTGGAACGGCACACCATGGTCATTCTTTTGACCAACCTCCTCAGTTATGGTGCCAACATAATACAAAAAGTAGCACCACATTTACACCAATGCTGAATAAAGTAGTAACTAAGAGCAACAATCCCCCACAATAAAACATGCATAAAACACCCCAAACAGAACAAAATAACTAAAACATTACTATCCACAATGCACCCCGCCCACCAGTTCTTTATTGTTCCTGAAATCCATCAAAACTGCTTGTTCCTGGTTGTTTTTTCCTATAGATCCACAAATACTTAAAAAATATATATTTCTGTTTATCAGACACACATAAAGATAAACAGGATAATATAGAAACATAAAAGTATAAATTAATAATTTTTAGTTAGTTTTACTCTTTCAAGTTAAGTTGTTCTTTACTGATTATTTAAGTTATGCTCACTAAAATTTTTTTGTTCGGATTAAGTAAAGAGTTTGAGTTCTATGTAGGGATGTCCCGATCCGATCACATGATTGGAAATCAGCCCCGATCACGTGGTTTCAGATTGATTGGGACTCGGGCTTTACTTCCCAATCCGACTCGGATACTGGGTTCAAATTACAGGAGAGCAACTTGGTTCTCATTAAAGGTTGTCAGGCTCCCCAGAATAAGCACAAAAAAGATCCTTAGACAGACAGACAGACAGACAGACAGACAGACAGACAGACAGACAGACAGACAGACAGACAGACAGACAGACAGACAGACAGACAGACAGATAGATAGATAGATAGATAGATAGATAGATAGATAGATAGATAGATAGATAGATAGATAGATAGATAGATAAACTTTATGTATATGGACTCAGCGTAGCAGGGATTCTTTTTAGCAGAGCGGTAGGCAGACCGCTGATTATTCATGAACTCCAGCTGCATTCTGCACACGGCCACAGTAACATGTTCTACGTTTCTAAGTGGCGTCATCAAAAATATACAATTAACACACAGTTGTTCGTGTCCGTTCATTTTCTCTCTGGTAATTTCTGTCTGTATTTGAGCATGACGTGTGGACGCGTTCGCGTTGCCCCCGCTGCAGCGCTCGTCACTGGCACAGCCGGGCAGCGCAGTGCACACTCCGCTTTTTTAGCGGTCAATAGATCAATTTGATCTGCTAGTTAAAAAGTTACTTGTGAGGTGAAAAAGAAGGAAGTAGGCAGGAGTTTTTCTGGAGGACTGGGAGATACAGGAAGATCAGAGACAGACAACACAGTTCTTAAAAAAATAAAATGTAGGTAGATTGATCCCTCTACACGTTTGTACCTGTATAAAGCAATAATTTATCAGCATGTAGTATTTATATAGTTGATACAATTCAGATCATCTTCAAAACTCCGTCCCATGCCCAGGGACGTATCTAAGCATTTTGGGGGCCGAGGCTAAATAGACCCCTGCCAGGTATTTTAGGTTGAAGTGCTATCTGGTTTTATATTAGACTTTTTATATTTGCAAAAAAGTCCAAAAGTGAAGAATTTATGTTATTTATTACTTGATTGTTCAAGCTACCTCACAGAAGTGATCTGTTGTTAAAAACTAAAACAAAAATGTAATTAAATAAAAAATAAGGAACATTCTGGAACTGTTTCTTCCTTTTCTTTCTTTTTTTTATGTATCAAAAGTATCGGATCGGGACTCGGTATTGGTAGATTCTCAAAATCAAATGACTCGGACTCGAGGGCAAAAAAACCTGATCGGGACATCACTAGTTATGTGTCCTGTCACTAAGTTTAGTTTAGTTTAGTTTAGTTTATTTCAAACAAAGAAAACATACATAATTTTTTTTAAAAATACCACAAACAGAAAAAATACATATTATCATCCCTTCTTCTCTGTTTGAAAAGGAGTAGGCTGAAGTGGGAACTTATATGTCCCTACCCCTTTATACAAGTAAGTTTTACTTGTTTACTAAATCTAACACAAAACCTACATTAAAACAAACAACTACAAGTACAAGTCACCAAAAAAAAAAACAACAAAAAACCACCAAACCATATGGAAAAAAAAAACAAAAAAGAAAAAAAACATCTTTTTACAATTGATACAATTTACTTTTCCTTAGAATAAAGGACACCAACATAAATCATCGATTTTCCACTATATACTTGTTCAGAATATGTTTTTTATAATTCATTTTAAACACATTTATATTTGTACTTACTTTACTTTACTAAGTACTACTTATAATACAAAACCACACCTCTAAATAGGCCAAAAGAGGTATTTCCTGTCAAATGTTAATGCAATCCAGGATTTAAATAATACTAATTTTATTCTTAAAGTCTACTTCCTTTCTTAAAAAAATTAAAGCAGTGGTTGACTCATTTAATTAATACATTTGCAGTGGTTTTCAGTAGGAATGAATGCCTTGTAAGTAGTACTCTAGGGTAAAAATATATTGGATTAGATCAAAGCAATGCAACTCTACCACTGACTTGCAATGTGGATTTTTTAGCTGCAAAAAAACAAGCTTTGCCACGTGGTGAAGTTTCTAATGCAAATGTTTAGCTTAAAATAGTCTAATAAAGTAGTAATAGTAGTTGTAGACATCTGTTGCTGTTTCCTGGATCAACAACAGCCGTCTTGAGTCAAGATTGGTGAGTCCATGAACGCTAAGTGGGATATACACTGAAAAAAGTTTCTCTTTGATCAACTTAAAGAAGTTCTTAAAAATTTCACACCAATAATTAGTATTTTTAAACTTATTTAAAAAAATTTGGTTCAGTAAAATTTTTCACTCAAAATCTTAATCTGTGAGGATTTTCAAATCCTAGACGGTAATGCAGGAAATTAGTGTAGGAGAATATTTTCATTTTTAACCAGCATGGAAAAACTCTGTGTGACTGATTAGAATCAGAGAAAATCATTAAAAATGTTTTTCAGTGTTTCACACATTTAAGCTGAGAAAAAAAAAGTTTAACTTTTTGATTGATGAATTGTGTATAAGAAGTGCAAAGTGAACAAAGATAAACAAAAATGTTAAAGCTGCAGCTAGTGACTCATCAGGGTTACCATGGTAACCACACGCCTGAGCATAATAAAAGTAGAAATCAAGCCTTGTGTGTGAAAACTGGGAATGTAAGAAAATATTGATACACTGAAATGTAGCAATTATTTGTGCTATGATACTGCATCAATATTTAAAAGCGGTCTATTTTTTTTCTCGAGAATTTACATGCAAACTTTTAATGTATTTATTTTGTGTGGATGCAATTTAAACTCCGACTGCTAGGTGTCAGCAGTTTTTACTACCTAATTCTGACAGAACAACAAGATCTGGCGATAAAGCTGGATTCGTGAAAAATGTGTCTAGCCTGGGGACTATAAAAATATCAAAAATGTACCTTTAGGCTATAACATTTTGAAACTTTCTATTTTAGGCTGACCTCCAGTAAACCTTGTTTTCAAGTTTCCAAATGAGTAAATCTGCTTTAAAGCAGGTTTTGCTTTAAACCTCAGAATCCTTTACCTGTGACATTGAGTCCATCTGAGCGCTGACACCAGATAAATGGACGGGTGGAGTTTGCACTGCTGCTGCTGAACCACTTATAGTCGTAACATTCGCCTCCTATGAGCAAAAATACAGATAAAAAAACATCTTTTAACAATTGAGAGTCTGCAGTAAAGACCATTTATCACACCAGTGGCGGATTAATAAAGCAGCTGCTTAGTTATGGTTAAATAAAAGGCTGCTGTCGCATAATGTCCAGTTCAAGATTTTAATCTTCAGAAGGAGCTTTTGCTTAATGACTTTTTATCAATGCTATTGTAACTTTATCAATATCACCATCAGGGCAGTAAATGACTGTATATTTCCCTATAGAGTTCCATATAACCAATCATTGGTTCAGCCAATTTCATTGTGTAAATGAACAATTTAACCTTGAACAAAAGGAAGATCTCGTCTCCACGGGTCTGAGTACAGAATCACAGCTCCAGTTGCGCTGTCTCTTGCTTTCAGGACCATTCGTCTGCAGCTGAGACAACTTCCCTGCTAATGTTCCTCTTTTCTCTCATTCCTCATTTCTTCCTGCTTTGCGTTGCCACTGAAGTCATTTTTCAAATGTGTGAGGTTATCACCGAGTCACTCATTTCAGCCGTTGCTTCCCACCATCTTTTACCAGCAGATTGAAGTTTTAGTTTTACTAAGATAAGAACATTTCTCAGAGGAAGAACAGATGTTATTTCTGGAGGTAGAAACATTGTAAGAGCAGCTGGGTGAGACGTGAAGTTTTTGGTTATTTTAACTACTTGTTCTAAACAAATGCACCAAATAACCTTCAAGACCACTGAAAAATAGATTAGAAAGAGTACAAAGGTGCAGTAGGAGAAGCTCTTCTGGAGCATTTCTTTGCCTTATTACTTGAAATTCTGACCAATGTACTCGGTATATTGGTATTTAAATAATTACATAAAGTTAGTTGTGGTAAAAATTATTTTCAAAAATGTAGCGGATATCCACATTTTATATCCTCAGATTAACTTTGTTTGGATTCACACAAAGAAGAACATAACTATTTTCACAAAGTTTTTCCTCTCACATTTAGCAGAAGAAAAACAAAAAGGGGAATTTGAGACTGGCCTACAGTTTCAGCATTCTGGTTACCTCCTACGACTCTCTCCCAGGATCGTACATTGCACCAATTTGACTGGCCCCCCTTCTGCGCCAATCAGGAGGCGCAAGAAATATCAGAAACCAGCCTGTTTTACATCAAACTGACCCTTTTCTCAAGATGGGGTAAGTCGTAAAGCTTCCCTTAATGTCCTCCTGGGAGCTTCATGACTTGAGTCTTTATAAACATTGCATTCCTGTTTATCTACAATCAAAGAAGGTGTTTAGGTTGTTTGCCCTTAAAATAGAAATCAAAGTGCTCTAAGTTTAAAATCTTATCAGTCACAAACCTAAACTGTTTGTTTTGTGTTTTATTTTATGTTAAACCTCTGCCAATTTGTGTTTCTCCAGTTAAAATTCATGCTAATGGTAAAACTGTCTAATTTTAAGACATACATTTAGTTCCTCTCTGTTTAAAGTAACACTTTGACCCCCATCTGGAACAACTTTGGTAAATTGTAATCATAAATCTGTCATTGTTGGAAAGGCAGAGGTTATGTGAAAGAGCCACAGTGCCATCAAGTGGGTAAGGAGTGAAATACATGTGGGTGTGACAAAAATAAAGTTTATAAAACCAGAAGTTCAGACTTCATGGTAGCAGAACAAAGAAGTAAGACACGTTGCGCAAACCTCTGCTGGCTTTTCTATCTGGGCCCAGCAAAAGATAATCGATGCTCAAAAAAGTTGTTAAGCCATTATCTCTCAAAAGTTACAGTAAACTCAGAGTTCCGTTTTGTTTTGACTTTCTACGTGAAACCGGAAGTCGGCATGGTCCGTTTGAGTCCTCGCATTAAGAGGTAAACCCAATTCGGAACAGTTTCTCTGATTTGATCTCGTTTGGATAATTCGGACTCACAATCTGAATTCCACTTTTGGTGCAGCTGGAGGAACTGAAAGGTCAAGCCACAATTGAGGAGGGCCACATGCTCCCTTCCATGACCGATGTTGACCGACCAGGGAGCCAGCACCATTTAATTCAAAAAGGCCTCACCACGAACCAGGACCCCAGGCTGTTGCAGCCGCTGGGCACCCTTCCGGCGATGGAAAGCAGGTTTGTGAAAACATTTCCATAGGCTGATCTTTTCTGCTATAAACCGATTTATGAATTCAGATTATTACATTTCCTTTATGGCAGGTTTAATTTCAATCCAAAAATTCACATTTAGCTCTGAAGATTTATCCTCTCTTTTCTCTTCTACCACACACACACACGCCAACTCTTGTTGCATCCACTCAACCACCTGAACACACCCCCCCTCTTGCATTCCTACACACACGCACGCACGCACGCACGCACACACGCACGCACGCACACACGCACGCACGCACGCACGCACGCACGCACGCACGCACGCACGCACGCACGCACACACACACACACACACACACACACACACACACACACACACAACACTCTCACTTTGCTCCCTTTAGAAATTATTCCCCATTTTCCAATAATCTTGGTGTCACCAAATTTCCACTTTATTACAGATCAGTATTTCATATCACTGCCATAAAGCTTTAGGTTAACAACTGTCTTAATTCCATACATGAAACGATAAGCTGTGTTTGGTCCTTTTTGTCCATGCCTTAACTGATGTTTATAATAAACCCACAAAATGTAAATAACGCCTGATCACTGTCTAACAATTCTCGAGAATAATCGGCACATTCCGTCAAGAATTCCACCTTTAGATTAATTTGTGGTGTTAACTCTGAGACTGCATTGCGAATACATAGATATTAAGTCCAACGGTTCAGTTCAGAAAACTGGTGGTGCTCCGATTAATTAATATAAGATTATAAACAAGCTAAATCTATGTCACATTTGAGGTATAGATATAAATCTATATTTATCACTACAAAAATTTGAAGAATTTAAAGGGGGTATGTCATGAAGTTTTTTCTTAAGTTAAAACAGTTCTGTGGTTGATACAAAACATGTTTGTAATGTTTTATTGCACTAAATCCCCCTCACGTCAAGTGATATCAGCAGTTTTATTTGTGATATTTTCAGTACCTTCCAGAATGAGCTGTTTCAGGTCTCTGTCATTTTAAAGGGGAACTAGACAGTTTTGACTTGCTTTTAGCATCCTCTAGTGTTAGTTTGTAGAACCAAAAGCAAAATCCATCGTCTCGCTATGCGATCACCTTTTTAACACTTTAAAGGTAATGCGGAGGACCTTTTTCTTCTGGGTGGATCATCTAAACCATTGGTTTGCATAACTGTCAATCATTCTGGTGAACCATTCTTGCAAGGATGTTGTACGTGCTTATTGCTGGGTAGTTTTCATTTCCTGCCTGTGCTCCTTCTGTTTATGTGTAGAGCGATAGCCTTCATTCCTGGCTGTTATCACAGGTTCTTTTGAAAATGGCTGAGAGTCGCAAGATAAAAAGAGTCTTTGAAGTCTATGATAAGAAAAGAAAGGCCTCCGGAGTGAGAAACATTATCAGAGTTTTTTAGGATACTCTTTTCAGCAATGGCGTGTGCTAAAAGCGAAGGTTTGGCTCGACAGGTAAGCTAAAGTTTGGCATGCTATTCATTTCAGATTACTGCTAGAAGAAGGGCTAGAAGGGCTACAAGACAGTTACTTGTAAACAGAGCATGCACGAGGATAATATAGGCATTCTCTCTCATGCGCATTTTTTTCAAACAGTGGAGAGGGCGGTTCTTTCCTGAAATTCAGAAACATCCTTCGCACAACCTTTAATCCAACAGTTGAAATGTCTCCCCAGCCTTCATTAGTGTCTACAGGAGGGATTCATCAATAAAATAAACAAATCAGCTGTGCTCATGATCTAAAACATGCAGGAAACGTGCTGGGAGCAGACTGCAGTGCCAGATATGTCAGCTCATTTTTTTCTAAGTCCCAACAAAGCAACCCACTCATCTGAAGTGGAATATTCTGCAATGGGATTGGGTGGCCTTTCATTCATCCTGTAAAGGGCCATTTTAGTACATGCTGGCTCAAGAAAATTATTTAAAAATATGAAAAAGTTGCAAAGTATCCTAACGCCCACCCATTCTCTGACAGGCTACTTTACACTGAGAAGCTCTGATATCTGGGAGGGGCTTGGAGTAGAGCTGCTGCTCCTTCTGCAACTGTTCTCTTTTATGTGAGAAGTGGTTCTATTCAGCTTTCTCCGTTTGTGACATCACAAATGGAGACTTGTTGAAATGGCTTGTTTTAGGCACATGTTTCCCATTGTACTGATTATTTTAATGTGTTTACAGAGGCATTACATGGCAGCAAAAAAGAATGCTAAATGTGTTTTTTGCATTATGTGTCCCCTTTATATAAAAAAACATCCTTCATACTGACCTGCTGTACTTGGCCATAATTATTCAGATGGAAAGAAATAATGGGTTCAAATCTTTTTCTACATTAATGTAAAATATCAGTTTCACTTTCTGACATGAGTAAGAAAAATGATTGAACGTCACAAATCTTTTTTCATACAAACCCATAATAACCTTTGTTGTGGGAAATGCTTTCAAAACAATCAATATCTGCTTCAAGCAAAAAGTAATTAACTTTACTGACATTTTCAGCGAGTTTGTGCCATTTTCATCCTCTCTTCAGAGAAGCGCTGTAGACAACGCAGAACTTTGAAGACAGATCTGACTTTTGAGGCGAGATTTGTGCACTCTTTCTGTTAAACATTTTAAATTTGATTTAACATGACTGGCATTTTGGCCAGCATCACGGGTTTATGTTGCCTTTCCAGACACCAAACCTTTGAATATTTCTCTCTTTTTTGCATTCAGTGATTCTGAAACAGTTTTAGTTTCTTCATTTTTTGTCTCTTTTTTTCTTAAGCTTTTTACAGTAAAAAAAAAATAACCCTCAAGCTGTGAGATATATGTTTTATCAAGCTTTAACTTTCATGTCCTTGAAGTTTTTGGGGAACAAGCTACAAATTTTAGATTTCTTCCAGCTGCGAGCAGCTTCTTTTATGTATTATTGAAGTGAACACACGTGCAGTCTGAAAATGTTTTATTCTGATCTGCAAGTCTTTCATTATGGTCACACTGTAGACGCAAAGCACGGTAGGAATTAATATTCTCCAAAAGGGTGCAACTGGGACAACTTTGGTTTGTTTTTGTCAAGCAAGCATCTCATCAAACTGCTCCATTCCCTCCATCCCAAACCTCTTTTTTCCCGGCACCGCCCTCTTTCTTCCACTGCCTCCTCTGGTCTTGGCAGGGCCACTCCTCCCCCCTCTGTGCCGTGGGTGATGCTGTGAAATCAGGTCAAACTAGTGAAGACTGCTTTGGAGCTGTGTACTATAGCCTAGGAGGGATGTGTGGAGGAGTGGGAGGTCAGGGAGAGGAGGAGGGGGAGGAGTGGGAAGAGTGGGATTTCTCTGCAGACGAAGACCATGGCAACTGTTTGGAGCATTACTGGTGGTGATTCACCGGCCCATCTACAGTAATGGGTGATTAACACGTCTGGGAAGCAGCCGAGATCCCAACAGAGATTCCTCAGTTCAGAGATCTGACACAAGTAATCCCAGCTGGAAATCCCCCAATTAACTTTGTGAAGAGACAGAAAATCAAGCTGTGGTTTGCAGCTTGTCCCAGTCGTATCTGGGGCACAGAACCAAAACAGCCGCCTGGTTAGCACAGCTACCTTGTGGTGAGGAATATCCTCATCTGGACTCTGCCTTCTTTACAATCTGAACATGTTCTTCCTGTGGGTTTCTAATGGTGTCCCAGATTTCTCTAACATCCAGACTCAGAGAGGAAGAAGAGTTAGGAGCCTGCAGGTATGATCCTGAACGTAAGTGTCTTTTTGTGTTCGCCCTGTGATGCATCGATGAGCCGCCTCCTGTCATCATTCTGTAACAACCTGCGACAGACTTCAGCTCACCACCAACATACAGTCTATAGTCTACAGGAGAAGGAACTCTCCATGGCATTCAGAGACTTTTAAGGTGGAAGCAGACACCATGAGGGCCAGATGCTTTTCTAAATTAAAGTTCAACCATGTTTGTATCTTAATTGGTTAATATTTAAAATGGCTTTGTTTTCCATCTAAACTGTTTTAATTGTAGTTTTAGTTCTGTTTGGAGAATGCAAACAAATATTGATATTTGGGACATGAGTTTTGCTGCTAAACTTCAAAGTCCACCAACTGGAGGGCGTTAGGGCCCCAATGGTTGGGAGGGCCAGATGGAAAGGTCTGGTGGGCCGGATGTGGCCCACGGTCCACCAGTTGAGGTTCACTGCTGTAGAAACTAATGAAGACTGAGGAGACGTTTCAGAAGTTTGATTATGGTGTTAAAAAGATGAATGCACATTGAAGACACACGTTTAATTTTTGCTTTCACTAACGGAACACTAGGGGGTGCTAAAAGCAAGCCAAAACTGCCAAGTTTCCTTTTAAGGACCAAGTTCACTCCTATTTTCAACACATTTGAAGTCATCTCAAGTATCTCTACTGTCCACTCTTGGTTCCCTCCTCTCCATGATTGATGTCAATGTTGTTGTTGTTATTTTTGTTGTTAGCCTCAAGGGCAACATGCCGATGAGTCGCTTTGGACAAAAGCGTCTGCTAAATACATAAACATAAATGAACGCCTTGTGAGCTGATTTTTGTGGGAAAAAGCTTTGCAGGTTCGAGCCTCAGTCAGATTGTTTCTGTCGATTTGTCCTTGGGCAAGACACTTAACCCCCCTTGCCTGCTGGTGGTAGTCAAAGGGACCAGTGGCGCCAGTGTATGGCAGGCCTCGCCTCTGTCAGTACTCCCCAGGGCAGCTGTGGCTACATCATAACTCATCCCCACCAACATGTGAATGTGTGTGCGTGACTGATTGTGTTGTAACGAGCTTGGGGGGTGGGGTTGGTTCCAGAACTAGGGGCTGCACGACTTAATTTTTTTTTAAGTCGACTGTCAAGTAATGAAAATCGAGTCGACTTTGACTAGTCGTTGATGACGTCATACACCTGAAGCGGTGCGGGGGGTGGGGGTGGGTTCGCTGGAGGTTTTGACAATTAAAATTGCGCCCACATTTTCAAAGTTAAACACATCTCTTTTAACAACGGTAGTTTCTGCATCTATACTGCTTCACTTCAGCTCTCTCCCTCCTCCCCATGCGCAGTGCGCCTGCAGCCTCTCAGAGTTCCTGCTGCTCTAATCATTAAAATAATTATTTCATTTTCTGTTCCTCACTTCTGATTTCCTTCAATGGTGTCTGTTTGTTGCAACCACCAGGTACAAAAACTAACTTGTTTTTATTTGACTATTTTTCTGTCCTGCCTGTTTATTATCTTCCTGCATCTCCTCTCAATCCTAAAGAAAAACTGCTACCTGGCTTCATATATATTCACCTTATGAGTTACCTTTGAACTGCAGTTCTAAAAAATCTACCGACAGCAAAAAACAGCGGAGTGTGCGCTGCTCGCCGACCGCATCAGTGAGGTGAAGTTATTGGAGTACAAAACAGGTGATGTGCCCCACTCCACAGCAGCGAAACGCATCAGGCAAAAGACAGAAAACATCAAAGGAAATGAGCCGACATGAACGATCGCGTGTTAAATTTGTTTTTGAGGTGGCGACAACTAATTTGATGTTACTGTAGCCGTGCTCAGGACGCAGATGTCTGGAGCGCGTCAACAATCAGAGCTTTGCATGTGCACGCTGGTTAAGGTTAGGATGGGGGTGAGGGGAATGTTAAATTGCAAGAGGGTAAAGGTCACAATTTGGTTAAATGTCCGTTTTACGGCAGGCGTCAGTACCGACGCTCTGGCACAGCGCGTTGCCTCCCGATGCGCAGGAGGTTGTCACCTGCTGTCTTTTTCGAGGACTGCATCTTGTCGCTCATTATCACGAGACAGCGACTAGTCGCTGAAAGGCATAAAAAGTCACTACAGAGCAGTGAAGTCGACTAGTCGACTAGTTCATACAACCCCTAGAAGGCGCTATATCAAATACAGGCCATTTACCATTTTGGTGGAAAAGAAGCAACCACAGGTTGAAAAGGTAAGATAACATAGGTGTTTGTAGTTGTTTGACAGTATCTAATGCGTTCACCATTCTCCTGTATTCTGGGGGTGTGGCTTTTGGGTGGAGCCTGAATAAAGGGGGTTGGGCCTTTGAATTGTGCTTTTTCAAATGTAGTGTGTTGTAATAGCTTTTCCTAGGATGATCTACTCCTCCTTTAGGGTTGAATTTTTATAAAACAATTTTAACATTAAACTTTTGAAACCCTTTGCAAGTTTGCCATCATTTTTGGATAAACGAAATGTCAAACATTGGTCGCTTGGTTGATACCCCTGGATAACACAACCAAACAAAACACTGTTATTTTTTAGGAGAGTCATGCAAAAATTAAAGGTAATAAATTGTGGGAGTATTGGAGTATTTCTTAAGGACGTAACCCAGATAGCAGACTCATTTGGGACCTTTGGACTTTGAGAACCTAGAGCTCAGTTATGACATTGGCAAGAGTTGTGAGGACTGGGCATGGCCCAAAGACTGCGAATTTGGGTAATTTCTGATAAATTTATGGTGGAGTTTAGGCAGACTCAACCATCAATGAAAACATTGTTCAAGGTCAGATTTAACCATAGAATGTAGCTCATATTTGTGCTCAACATGCATAGCTAGTTTTCCTTTGGCAAGAAGAAAGTGTGTTTGTTCTTACCAGTGCAGTCCTGAGACTCCCACGCCTGGTCTGGACAGAGCTGCAGATTTTCAGGTTCCTGGGCCAACACAGCTCGAGACCGAGCCTGAACGGAACCAAAATCGACACCGGCCCCTCTGATGCAGATGCTAACACAAGAACTCCAGTCTGACCACTCCATCAGATAGCATTCACCTGCAACCGAAAAGAGACCAAGTAAGAGCTTCAAGTGTGGAGACTGGATTTTCATTTGCTATCAAGCATACATGTGATCTGTCAGAGTACGTGCTATAAATGACTCAGCTGGTTTTAGCTCAACATTTGTAAAACTGACATAAAGCTACATTTATGTTGACAAAGATCACAAAGACGTGGATTTTTGGAGGTAGCGATATTTCTATAAAAATATCAGTGTATTGTATGCAGAAAAATGCTCATGCATGGCTTTGAAGTAATGTTCCATCACATTGACATCTACAGTAATTCCATAGAAATTTCTGTTACACTTTCATCTTCCAGCGTTTCTGTTTTTTTTTTAAACTTTGTTTAGATTTTATTGTTTACACAGCAGAAAATCTCATTTAGTTTTGGCCTGAAAAGACTTCCTTTACCTATTTGTGCATTGCTCTATAAGTTAACTGTTTTGAATGAGAAGGAGGAAGGTGTGAAGAGTGCAGGGCAGTTAGATTTGGACATCTGTGGCTCGTCTAACAGTTGGGGGAATTAGAACACAGGTTGAGGATGACGGTGCATGAAAGTACTGCATGTGCTATTGTGTTTGTGTGCATGTGGGGATGCAACCTGCTAGAATTCCCATACTCATCCCGATCTACACACACAAAAATAAAAGAGCTTGTGTTTTCTCCTGAATCTCGCTACACCAACTCCCTGCAAAGAAACCGCTCTGAGCTTCTGATTGCTGTTTGATTCTCCAGTGCTCCTGCAGTTTGGTGAAGAGGGGATGGACTGACTTGTTATCTAGGGCAGCTTCCCCATCTCAGGGACCAGCAGCCATTTGATGAGCTTTACTTTATTACTTGTTTTCAAATCACAATCAGGAAATTCACCAGTGGCAACATATGGCACAGAAACTCTTTACACTATAAAATTATTTCAAACTGAGGCACATTTAAATGAGCTGCAGCTTAAAAGAAGAAGGATATTTATCTTTTAACATGACGAGCAAATGGCACAAAGGCACAGGGATCTTTGTACTTTTTTTTTGGCAGAAGCAAGAAACAATAATGCCCCTTCAGGGACTGCTGACACTGAAAATAACAGCTTTATATTTAAGCTGCACAATGTGAAAATACACTGCTGGTATCTGGCTGCATTATAAAACGGAGAATAAGCTTTTCTTTTGGAAGTGTTGCCGATTCGGCCTATTTATCTAAAAGAAACGCTCCTGCGCTTTCTTTGCACGTGGAGTCATTTCCTAACAAAGTCAGCGGCTGACCCAGTGGGCTGAGCGATGCAGATCCCACCTGTCTGTCGGATCTGCTCTACACTACAAAGCTACATCAGGCCCAGCGGTCGGCAAGCCTCCATCACAAAATCTGACAACACCTCATCAGACTCAGCCTTTGAAGTGTTAATTTCTTCTGAAAGATTTCTTCCTGTAGTGAGGGTTCATGCTCCTGCAGAAGCATCGCTTGCCAATCAAAGTGCGGTCAGCAGGATCTGATGTCTTTTTGTGTTTGAACTGATGAATACTTTAGTGGATACAATCGTAAAAGCTGCTCTGACTTAATACCCCTTTCATCTGTCATCTATGTTGGTCTTAGAGAGGTTCTCTAATACTTAACAAAGCCCAAAATGTTAGTTTTTAACATTATTATTCCAGTTACATGATTTATGAGGAAAACTGGACAAATCTTCCATAAATCATCATTTGCCAAGTGTAGGGCTGCATAAAATGCATCAATAATGTATGCATATGATGATATCAATGCATATAAGATTCATATCACAGAAGACTGCAAATTAAATCAGAATATTCTTCTTTGAAGTGTTGTGCATTCCAGCTTTATCATAACTGATAACAATAACTCGGGGTGGAAACAGAATGTAGAAACTCTTCAGTATATTTAGCTGAATAAAAATATTAATGATCAGGTTTTAAAAACCACAAAGCAACGAGTTCAAGCATTTTTTATCCAAATGAAAGACTGGACACGATGACAGAAAAAAATAATGAAATGGCATGTTGTGGTTTACGCAGGTCAGCGAGGCCAGATGCACCTCATATTATAAAGACTTTCCCAAAATCCGATCACTGGTCAAAAAAAAAAAAAAAGATTCACGTTGACAGTGGACTGCCATCCCCAGATTTATGGGTTTGTTCCCCTCTAGGGTGACTTGAGCTGAATTTATGTGCATGCATGGCGCACCAACCCATTGTGGAGAAAGAAAAAACATCAGAATTGGAGTCTGCCTTTATCACACTAAAGAGCAAGTCACTCCCTACCAGAGTCTAACTCCACTCCCACTTCATGTTTGAAAAATGCAACAAATGCCGTTGCCTGGCAGACCGAAGAGGGCGAAGCCGCTAACCAATACACACACACACACACACACACACACACATACACACACACACACACACACACACACACACACACACACACACACACACACACACAGGCTCACTACAGCATTGTGACATCATAATGTACCAGTTTACATCATAGTATACCTCTCAGCCAATAGCGGTGGCAGATTTAAAATTCAAATACAGTGCATAGTTTTTACCTGACAACGGCACAACACTGACAGTTTTAGGCAGAATGTTTAAATTTTAACTAAGATGCACTGAAACGCCAAATTATTGACGACACGTGTCTGCAGCACGATTAGACACTCGTTTATCTAGTTTATCAGCAAAAAAAAAGTTGATTTGGGGGTGACTTGCTCTTTAAAGGTTCCATATCATGCCGTTTTACATCTTTGAGAGCAAAGGTAGGCACAATGTGTGATAAATTATTATCAATGGCACTATTGAGGTGTAATTTATCTGAAATATGAGTGATTTTCATCAGCCTGATTTTATACCCAAAAATAAAATGCTTGTATTAGTCTTGATAGTCCAGTAGTTTAAGTGCCTGCCTTTTGCCATGTGCTGACGCCAGTGCAACACCTGGTGTCGGCAGTAATTTGTTTAACCAGCTGAAGCAGATTTCATTTTGTACATTTCAGTTTTATTGGTTATTTTTTGCAAAAATATTTTGTGTCTCTAAATATTTTTGAATTAGGTTATTTCCAAGCAGCATTTTATTTGATTTACTCTGCACATGTCACATGGACTCACACTGGTTGAATAAACAAAGTAAAAACTTGTAGTAAGTATGTATAAAACTACAACCTAGATACTCTATCAGGAATGCAGATCTGTCCAATACACAGGTGGCAGGAACGGCCAGTCACACTTTAGCAAGTATCAGCAGAGCCAATAGATGAGCTTATGGACGATTCTAATGGGAAACAGGCTTCAACACCAGCGGTAGTCTTCCGCTTGGTCCTAGTGCTCAACCAGTGTCTATTTAATATAGTGTAATAATGTTTTTGGACAGTGAAAAGTGCAGGGGACAATAATTTACTTTGGAAAAAGTGAGGGTGACATGCCCCCCCCCCCCCAAAAAAACTATGTCCATGCTGATGACGCAAGTAGTTTTTATTCAAGCGTTTACAGAATCTTCGAAGTAAAACTCTAATTTGCCGCGATAGATGAAAATGCATGAAGCCAAAAACAGGTTATGGGTTTGTTTTCATGAGGAATTAACAACATCACATGGTACACATATCAAAACAGTTGATTTTCCATGATATGGCCCCTTTAAAGATTTTTGGGCTACAAGTGATATTTTATCTGTAACTAAAGCATAAAGTATCAGAACTTGTAAGATCATCACAATTTTTATTTCTTTTTGAAGATTGCGCATTCTTGTAAGAATTATCTCCATGTAGCATTTAGTCGTTGTGTTTTAGCCAGATATTTAGTCAGAAGGGCATATCTTAAGACTTATTTTCCCTGGCATCCTCTTTAGGATAAATCAGAAAAAAAAAAACACAAGAAAAGCCAGCGGGATGCAACAATTTCATCCATCTCATGGAGCTTGTGTTTACCCTGGCATCACTGGAAGAATGCAAATCAGTGCTGAGCTTCTTAGTTAACTTTCAGACGCTATCAACGGCTGACAAAATGCCTTGTGGACACATCGGTAGACTTTCCACCAATCAGAGCAGCGGAACCAGAGACTCATTGCAGAGGTACTGTACTTGGCATCAGCAGTGCTTGAATGAAAAAAGGCTACCTATCAGATAAGTGATGCATGGATTAATCAAGCAGGTGAGCCGAATTTGGCAGATTTTCAGATTACTCAGTGATCATCAAATCAGGCATTCCAATTACCAATCAATCATTTTGATTCAGTGAAGGCATCAGAATAAAAAATCAAGTAAAAGAGGTATTTGTTCAGAGCACACAACTATCTTCCTGTAATTACCTCTGGTAGCTCCGTCCCCAGACAACCTGACTAATCAGAAGTTTCTCACCTGGTCTTTAGTGATGTATCATGTTTCATTTTTAGTTTAGCGAAAAACTACCTGTTAACAAAATTCGGAAATGATTCAGATTAGAGGTGTAAAAGCATGTAGGCGTTAGCGCAATGACAAAATAAAATAGCAGTAATTTGTAATAACGACAATGTGACGTGATACAAATCTCATTTTAACCAGAAACGTTGTTTAAAATCTTGTAATGATGAAAACAGTGCTGCTGCATGACGACATGTAGGACAGGCAATTGCATCATGCCACAAGGGGTCGCCAGAGAGTCGACAAACAGTAGCGAGACGGTGAAAAGCTGTCGTTTGTCAGCACTGTTGGATGACTCACTCTCCCTGACAGAGCCCTGCCACTCCTGTTGTGCTGCACATTTCCTCGTCTTAACCAAGGAGGAAATTCTCTCTGCCAAACTGGAAACTAATGAGGAAGTGACAAAAACTCTGCAGTTCCCCCCTCATCCACTAGAGGCTGGCTCCAGAAAGGAGTAGGTTCCTGTTGACTCCCATGTTAAAATACCACCTTCACAGCAGAAATAAACTTACAGCCTAGGAAAAAAAAACATTTTAGTTGCCTTCAAATATAAAATGCACCCCATCTCACAAAAGCTACACCATCTAATATTTAGCATCAACAAATTAATCTGCTCTCCGCTTAATCAGCAAATCCAAATGTGAGCAGAAAAAATGCTAAAAATCTACAACTTGTTATTTAGATTACTGTAGTTTATCCACTACATTTAAATAATAAGAAGATAATTAAATGCACCACATTTCTTGGTGATTTGATGGTTTTATCCCATTGCTTCTGTTTCTTCGCTACAAAAACAGCCAATTGAAAGGCAGGGGTCAAAGAATTCATTTAGATTCACGTCTCAGTCTGTTTTAGCTGCAGAGCAGGTGGTGCAAACAGTCTGTGTGTTCTTCCACATGAAACTAAAAACAGCTCCTCACGGCCGTGCCCCTGGCTTTGGCAGGACGCTTCCACACACTAACGCGTTCGCAGCTGGGAGGCCTGTGAGGAATCATCAGACCGCTGCTGGAGTGAAAACCTCGCTATGTTTCACACTTCTCACCGTGAGGTGACAGGCTCCGTTCCAGCTGATTCATACACACATAGAAAAGCAGAATAAAGTGACAAAAACTGGGGGTAAATTTAGGAGCCACACATAGAGTTTAGCTGTCAGGGTTTGAACACATTCCGGAGGAGACAACAAGATGGTCTGAGTTTCTGCAGACATTAAAATACTCAATTTAGCTGTAAACAGCCAGTTTTCTGCTTTCAAATGAGGTTTAACCTCTGATAGTGAGAGCTGCTCCATGCTACCCTGTTATAGAAGTACTGCAGTTGCAGAAATCATGAATCGTTTCATGAACATTACAGAGGTTCATGAGAGTGTATTTATTTCTGTTTTAATCCTTCTGCCTGGTTTATGCTTCTCCGTCAGCTCCGCAAGGGACAGACACGCACGGATTGACGGAAGCGTTTTGCTCTTTTACTTCTCCGTCTCTTGGAGTGTTGCAAAGCAATTGCCCGGCAGGACCACAGAGGGCGTAGCGCTGTTCTGTGGTATCCTGTCATGTATCGGTCCAAGATCGTGTGTTTATATTGTGTTTTTTGTGTATATAAGAGACTTTTAACACGGACATATTTGTCTCTCATTCTCCCACCGCTTCATGCGCTCGCCACCTCTAAACCCACGTTTCCCGTCATTTCCGTCCACAAATAAAACGCATGCTGCGCATCTTTTCACTTCTCCAGTCACGGGAGAATTAAACGTTCATATTTTTAGAGTTTTTCGCGAGGTATTCTTCAAGCTTCTCCATGTCTGCCACTAGTTATCCTCGGCTCTCTTTGCAATGGCGGCGCTGTAAACAACAGCGGCGTCCTGACCAATCACGAGCTTGCGTAATCCGTCTCGTTCGACGGATGTTTAAAAAAGTGGGCTCGACTCCGTACGTACTTGTGTGCCTGCCGGAGCCCTACGCAAGGACGTAATCTGACTTTTTACATTTTTTTTCTTCAGGCAGTCGGACACGTTCTGCAGTTGGTTTGAAGGGAAGGTTAGCAATGTAGCATCAGGAAATAAAGAAACAAAGTAAATAGTTGACTTTAAAGACCAAGCTCCCATCTGCAGTGGTCTAAATCAGGGCCTTGTGAGTCGATCTCGGTGGGACTAAAATCTCTGGTGCTCCTGTTTCAGGAACTAGAAATGAGCTGACAACTAGAAATGAGCTGACAACTAGAAATGAGCTGACAACTAGAAATGAGCTGACGACGCAGGATTTGGAGTCTTATTTCCCGATTTGGATATCTCATCACTGACTGGCTAACACCAACTCGACTCTACAGCTGACTCCGTTTGCTTTGCAATGTTGATGTTTTATCTCCACAAATAACACAAGCCTGGAGGAGTTCTGCAGGGTGGTGGTGTTGCTACTGCTAACAGTTAGCTCCAACTAGCCGAGATGTTCTCTGCTCTTTCCTGGACACTAAACCAACAACCACCTTCCTCGTCATGAGCCAAGATAAGTCCATGAATGCTAGTTTTCTATGTGACCTAGATCCGTCAGGGCTTTCCAATCCGAGTGTTTCCCAGTCTGTTTTCTATTCATGGCTAATGCAGGAATTATGGGTAGAGTTTTTAGTGATGTAAATATCTGAATGTGGACGCTTCTACTATATTATAAAGCATGGACTTCTACTGTAAAGGATCAGAATGATTAGCTGATTCTTTTGCACATAGATGTGTTGCTGGAAATGTCTACAAGAAGATCCATGGCTGAAAATACCCGTTTCTTTTAAACTAAACCTCTCTAGAGATCCCACGGAAAACATACAACAGACTAGAGCCGCAAAGTTTGCGCAACAATAACTATTTTGTGTTGTGAGAGAAACTTCTGGGCTTGGATGACTTAACCTTTGAGCAGGTCAACCGCACAATCAGTTTATCAACACTGCTGATTTTTAAGACTACAGCTGGACACTCATGAGGCTTAAATTTTGGAGGCTCACATTTTCCAGAGTATTGTTTTTAAAAAATCAACTTTTCATTTGCAGTATCACTGAATTTGCACCTGAAACATGTGTTTGCATCTTGTAGGAATGTCTCACGAGCTCCTAGTGAACTTTGAGTCAAGCATTTTCAAAGGTGATTCAAAAGTGCTGCAAGGATTTCTCAGAAATGACTGGAGACATTAAGAAAACTAGAATAAGAATGAAATTATTAATTTTACTCCAAGGGGATTTTTATTAGACTGACTTTATGGAACACTTGGTACAAGTTAAAGCCACAAAACAGAGAATTTCCTGAGTTCTCACCTGGACACGGAAGGATGCAGGCTTCCTTTAAATTGATCTGTTTGTCACCGTTGACGGCCAGCTCCAGGCTGCTGCACAGCTCCTCGTCCACCATGCTGTCCTCCGCCCCACTGGACCCGTCCGACACAAAGCAGGACAGGTTCCTGTAGCGCACGCCGTGTCCACACACCACACTCTGACCACAAACCGACATCAGAAGCAGATATGAATGAGGAAAGGCTAATTATAACATTACTCCTGATGGTAATTAATTCATTTCAAGTTGATAATTAGCTTGAATAATTTTAAAATCCAAAAGTTTTTAATCATTCTCAACTATCAACAGTGCAGCTAAATGAAATCACACATTAATTAAAAAAAGTCCTGAAAATTGATTTTTATTGGCAAATCAGAAATAAATTTTAGATTTTGTTCCAAAACTAGATAATAAACGAGTTTGTTTTTACTTATTCTAGCTTAAATAAAACTGATGTTAGTGAGAATGATTAAATTATGATTAGAAACTTCTAATCTGATAGGTACCGATTAGGTTTTAACAAATGATTAATTAATTAACCATCTGTCTCTCCTTTGAAAACCAAATTCTCAAAACGTTTTCAATGTATTTACGCCTTGAGAGCTGATCTCTGCGGGATAAAAGCTCTGACACTCCTGTTTCAGGAAGTAGAAAGATGTGGAGATGTTTGCAGAAAATGGCAGGAGTAGGACTTTTATTTGTTAATATTTCCTGATATTCAAACATCTCGCCTCTGATTGGCTAACGGTGACAAGAATTTACCACTGACTCAGTTTGCTCCACAACGTTGATGTTTTATCTCCACAAACAACACAAGCTTGAAGGAGTCCTGCTGTGTGGTGTAGCTAATGCTAATGGTTAGTTTCTACTAGCTAAGATGTGCTTTTCTCTCTCCTGTATGCTAAATCAACAACAGCTTTCCCCCGTCGTTTGCCAAGATGGATGAGTCCATGAATGTGATGCAGATCTTTGTTGGCTTTTCTGATCTAAGCGTTTCCCCGTCTATTTTCTATTGGAATCTAATGACAGAAATAGGTGTAGAAGACAATTTACACGTTTAGCCTACCTGTCCGTAAAACTCAGAGTGATTAAAAAAATAACAGGAACAAAACTTGCTCTTTAAACTACAACAAAGTTTTGGTTGGTTAAACAAATTTGTATTGTTCTAAAGAAAAATAAAAGCTTTAAACTTGCAGTAGATTGGTTTCTTCTGTCTCATGAATTAAAAGTAGAAGCAGGGAATTTGAGGAGGTTGATCATCGATACTGAGGACTATTCGTTTTCACATTTGGCTCAAACTGTCATGGTCTGCGTCTGTGTCTTCCTTCATGTGTCTCCTGATGTTTCTCCATCCTCTCTAGATTCCCTTCTGTGTCTCTTAGCGCCCTCATGTGTCCTTTGTCTGCATCTCAATTATGTGTCTTAATGTTGTTACTCTTTTAATCATTCCTCCCAGGTCAGCTCCAGCCTCCTTGTCCCCAGCTCAGTGTATGTGTGTGTGAGTGAATGTGTGTGTGTTTGTGTGTGTGTGTGTGTGTGTGTGTGTGTGTGCGTGTCCTCCCCAACTCAGTGTAAGTGTGTGTGTGTGTGTGTGTGTGTGTGTGTGTCCTCCCCAACTCAGTGTAAGTGTGTGTGTGTGTGTGTGTGTGTGTGTGTGTGTCCTCCCCAACTCAGTGTAAGTGTGTGTGTGTGTGTGTGTGTGTGTGTGTGTGTGTGTGGATGTCCTGCCCCTGTTCGGTGTTTGTGTGTGTGTGTGTGTGTGTGTGTGTGTGTGCGTGCGTGTCCCTTCCCCAGTTCAGTGTATATAGGTGTGAGTTTATGTGTGTCAGTGTGTGTATGTGTGAATCCTTCCCTCAGTCTTTAGGTTTAGTTTTTGTGCTTTAGGTTTACCTGTCCTCCTTTGGTCCTGTTTTCCCCATTTAGATAAATTATTGTCACCTGTCTTCCCCCCAGCCCTCACCCCACACACCTGCTGCCATTTTCCCTAATTACTCCTCCCTGTGTATATAAGCCCTGTCTTGTCTCTGTCTTGTGTCGGTCCATTGTGGTAATTCCGTCAGTCTTCGTTCATGATCTCTAGTATTACTTTTGCTTCTCGTGTCTCAGTGTTTTGATCTCTAGTTTTTGGTATTTGGACATCTTTGGACTTTGGCTCCCTGCCTTGGATTTATTCTTTTGTTTTATCCTTCAAAATAAAGGATTTTTTTCTTTATATCATCACCTGCCTCGTGTCATCCTGGGTTCCTGCATTTTGGGTCCTACAAACCTCGTATCGTGGCACAAACAGCTCCTTGATTTGATCTGGAGAATCTGTCTGGGTTGAATTTGCTGTTGCCCAGAGGTCAGTGCAGCTACTAATATATGGTGTTCCAGGGTTCAGTTCAATGTGGTTATTAAATGATTTATGGACAAACCTCCACTCGACACTCAGACCAGGAGCTGTACTGCCAGCGGTAGCAGGGTCGGACGGGGCAGGGCTTCCACTGCTCCATCTGGGAAGGACACGGCCGGCCGTCGCCCTGAGACGCCTGAACCACGGAGCGCTGGCGCCTCATCTTACCTGGGAGATGAACAAAAGTCATCAGAGACTTTTGTTTCCATACTGATAAGTAATATTGTCAATACAAAAATATATCCAGCCAAAGTTTTGAGTCATCCTTTTTCTTTAGATTTTTCCAGACGTTTTGAGGGTCTGGCGACGTTCTTTGTTCTTTAGCTACTTTTAAAAACAAAACTTAGAAGTTTTAGGGCTACAGAATAGAACGCAAACTTTATCATTATCGCAACATTAGTGTGAGACACAAAAAAAGGTTAGAGTGTGATAATTACTTGACTTCAAAAAGAGATGTGGATTTTAAGCAAATGAGAGAATCTCTCTGTCCTTGATCACCACATGGAGAAGTGGATCCCAAAGTCGGTGTCATGACTCGACTGTGGTCTGAAAAAAGGTCAAGTGGTCTGGAGATAAAATATAAAAATCAGAAAAGTTGTGATAAATAAGTAGAATCGGTTTATTATAACATGGACTAGTTTATGTTTTCATAGTTTATTCAGAATTTTAGAGTTTATTTTCTGAGTTTAACCAGTGATGTTTGAGTGGCAACTCTTTGGTGGTGTTACCTTTTGAATATCTGCTGATTTGTGATTGGCTGAGATGTTAAAGCACAAATAAGGTGTTGTGAGCATCATGATGATAGAGAAGAAATGAAGTAATGAGGGAAATTTCAGTTTTTATAGCTTTTAAATCAGAATTGTATGTTTTTCTAATGTAGTGCAGCCCTAGTATGTGTTTATGTTTGTTGATGTAGCAACAAGGGGATTTGTCAGATCTCTGCTGGTTTATGTTTTGACCAAAAACTTTAAACTCCTTTAGAAAACCAGACAAACGAGTGCCTGGCTCTTTTAAAACAAACCTTAAACAAATAAAGATGCTTGAAGACTTCTGCGCAGAGGTTTGCCTGTTTCAGACTGTTTATTTTGTTTATTTACTTTGTGTTTTCCTACACAGCAGCAATCCTCTCCTTCTGTAAACAACTCGTCTTACATGTATGTGGATGTTTGTTTTTAATGCTTCTTAACAGGATTCTATAAACGGCCAGAAACACGGCCCTGATGTTTGATTGTTTTTTCTGTAAACCTGAGAAAATGCCTTTAATTTCACATCTGAAGAAACCTGGTCCCTCAGAGATGGTTTGATCTGCGGGTGGAACTGATGTCATGAGTTAGCCAAGTGTTCACAGACGTTTCACACCTCCACCTCCCTAACTCTCACAAACATTCTTTTTCAGTGCTTGTTCCAGTTTTATTTCAGCTCAACACGGAATGAACTTTGACTTTCAGAAGAAGACTTCAAGAAAATAATCTTCTGAATATCCATCAATCCATTTTCAGCCGCTCATCCGCAGTCGGGTCGCGGGGGCAGCAGCCTAAGCTGGCACGCCCAGACTTCCCTCACCCCAGCTACTTAAGCCAGCTCTTCCGGGGGAATCCCAGAATTGCTTTTCTGATTTTCTGGGATACTGAATTGGGGACTTTTAGGATTTTTATGATGCAGCAAAAAATTACGTTATTTTTTGCTACAAAATACCTGTTAGCATTAAAGAACTAACCTGAATTTGCACCTCAGCAGCTACCCCCCCCCCCCCCCCCCCCACACACACACACACACACACACACACACACTGTGCAGCCTTTTTGCACACAAACTGTCAAACTTCATCCATTGTTCATCCTGTACTCCTACAGGAGAGCCTCCCACTCAGTCGCAAAACCAAACCCGGCACCTTCCAGCTTCTGTCACTTTTGCAAAGTTTATCTGTTACCTCCTGATTCCACAGCTGCAGCAGTGGCTTCTTCTTCAAACCCCCCACCACACACACACACACACACACACACACACACACACACACACACACACACACACACACACACACACACACACACACACACACACACACACAGCCCAAAGGCATGTGAAGACACAACGGCATATAGTGAGACGAGTGAAGAGCCGGAACAATGACCAGGGAACAGGAGGACAAACTTCTGCTGGTCGCCGTACGGCTTCTTCGTAAATAAAACTTTTCATTTATTTTGCTTGTGCGGATTTTTGGGAGGAATTTTCTCAGCGAGGGCAGGAAGTGTCCAAAGTGATCTTGCTGTAGTCATCAGGAATGCTTTGATGATTTATTAGTCATGGCTTTCTTTATCAGTGCATTAACACGTTTCCTTAAACAGCTTGCAGCTGCTGAGTGGAGCCTCCGACATTTTGTGCCACCTGAGTATCACACAGATTATATATTCATTCACCTCATTCAATATGGATCGTAAGGTGCCTGGGTGGAAATATAAGTATTTAATATCTCCTGGTAAAAAAAAAAATAAAACTGCTTAGTGAGTCTAAGTTAGCCATTGCTGTTTTATGTGTTAATTTCCCACTTTTTCTTTTCTTCCTCATTGTTTTTGGCTTTTACTGTATTTTAATGTACATACAAAGTATTTGATGTGGATAATAGTAGAATAATAATTATTAAATGTTTATAATCAAATAAAGGATCTGGATGAGTTTATTAAAAGCCTGCATTTGGCTCAGTCTTGGTTTTCATGTTGTGAAATCTAAATTACTGGAGGATGAGTGAGAATTTGGCTCCTGAAAGGCACAAACACTTATGTTTGCCTGCATTTATAGGAATTCACCTTCTGGAGAGCAAATATTAGGGAAAGACTATTTAAATAAATGACACGGAGGAATTTATTAGCTTGTAAAGCTGTGAAGTCAGTAGTTTGCTTTTGATCCTGCTTATGTTTACAGAAAAAACAATGAAATTGCTCTTCAAACTGAGAGCTCTTTATTGGAGCATGTTTATTTTCAAGACACGTTTTGTGCCAACAAAATTCATACCAATTACAAAAAACTTAAAATAGCCTAAAAAGAGAGGCTGACTAAAACAGATTATTTGATTCAAGCAGAATAAATCCAACTGAAGGTAAAATCTACAAGTTTTCAATTTAATGTAGGAATGCACTGATTTAGGGTTTCAGGGTCGATACCAAACCCAATTTTGGCCGATGCTGATTTATTCCAAAGAAAAACACAGAGCACAGGAAACTCAATGTAGAACCCAGGTAAACACAACCTTCATAAAAGTTCATGTGATCTCGCCACACACACACACACACACACACACACACACACACACACACACACACACACACACACACACACACATCTCACTCTCCTCTCCCGTTCCCACTGAGCGGCAGCTCTGGAACGGCAGCTCCGTGCTACAGACAGAAGTTTACTCAGCAGCATCCAGCATGAAAATGAATCGCACATGCGGGAACCCCCCCGCTGGATCATACTTTTCGCAGATTGGAGGCGGTACGCGTAATTTCAGCCGGCCAATCAGTCCGTAGTGTCGTCTCGGTTCTTGTCTGACCGCTGCTGAGAAGGTCTGAGAAAAAGAGTCGCCTCGGCACCGAAAACGCAAATCTGACCTGCGTGTGAAACCAAATTCCGGTCCCGGAAGGGACCATAAGGGACCGAGCCAGCGCTAATGTGTAAGCGCCATCAGTCTACTGGCTGAACTCAACTCTGTTTCTCCAAACATGACTGTTGTCTACAGCGAGCAGCATCACCAACATCCCATTTCACGGAAGCCCAGCTCCAAAAATCTGAATGATCCCTTTAGGTTGCGACTCTTACCCTCCAGCCCACAGGTCTGCGAGCACTCTGACCAGGCCGACCAGTCCGACAGCTGACAGTTGACAGGACACTCCACCGTGCACGAGACGTTCATCAACCAGTTCTTCTCCAGACTTAACTGCAGCACAGGTAAAACACACACCATCACGTTTCACATCGTTTTACTGTTGCATCCAGGGGACCATTAAACTCCCATAAGTCTTTGCTCTGGCAAAGATGCACCACTAGGCAGCATCACAGCTTTCAAGAAATATGAAAACCATCCTGACACAAAGCTTTTGTGTGAATGAGGCAGGTGATGATGAGGTCCACAGGTGAAAGAGCCGGTGGCTCTGCCACAGCCTGGAGGCTCCGCTTCCAGGGAGCTGAGACTCATTATGAGTGAATAAACTGCTCAGCATGAAGTAACAACAACAAACTCTGCAGGGGGTCACATGAATAATTCATGTTGCTGTGGGACCACTATCAGCTATAAAGAGTGATGAGATTAAACCATAGAAATAAATAACAACATGGCAATAAGGAAGTTAAAAACGATCCAATCAAAAGACAAAACGAGTTGCTGCACTTGTCTCACCTCCTCGCAGAATTTAATATCCACTGACTTGCCGTCGCTGCGAACGCAGTCAAGCATCCGGGTCTTGATGCCGCTCCCGCACACGGCGTTGGGACTCAGCTGACAAGTGCTCCAGTCTGATTAAGCGAGGGAGGGAAGCAAAAATAACATAAGTCTTTTTCTTGACTGTTGATCAAAAAATTAAGACACAAAAGTAATCGCCTCACAACAGATTACAAAGAGTCAGACTGAAAAACTCTGTAGGCTTCAAAGCTTCTGCAACTTTTTTTGTAATTTGAAGTTAAAGCTGCTTGCAGCAGCTCAGGCAGTAAACATCAACATGGATGACTGAAATCAAGATATTTTTTTATGAGACACATAAATTAAAATCAAATACAATTTTAAAGGAAACCTGATTGTGACCACTGAAGACATTTTTTCGCTTCGGTGACACTGACAATTCTATTGTCCATACAAACTCAACTCTTATCTGAAAATTTCGCTGTAACCTTTGGCTGCATTTCAAACAAAAAGAAAAACTTCTTTTTAGGTGTTTTTCTTTTGTTCTTCCCACACAGAGACATTTGTTGTGCCAGAGAAGACTTAGATAACATTTTCACAGAAAAAAATAAGACATGACCATCTTTTACCATGAACCGAAAAATCACATTCACCCATTTTTCTGATGAGCCTTCAGCTAAACCCAAACATTACTGTGAATTGATCATATTCAAATATATTTAGTTTTATTTTAAATGTCAGTGGCTGCCCAAAGCATTAATCTCTCACCCTTGTGCTGGATGATTAGTGTAAGGGACAGCAGCTCAGGAGGTAGAGCAGGTTGTGTCCTTGGGAAAGAAACTTACCCCGGGTTTCCACGGGAGCCGTCAGCAGCACGTTACTGCAGCAGCACGTCTTGCTTGCGTAAGCTGCTGCTTGGCCCTTCCCACGAGATGCGAAGCAGCAGGGGAGCAGCCGTCACCGACCGAGCACGAAGTCACACGAGTGACTTCATCAGTAAACACAACAACAAGCAGGAGAAAACTACAACATGGTTTGTGTTTTATGTTCTGTCCGTTTTATAATCGCCAATACGGACCTGAAAAACAAAGGAGACCGCTAGCTATGTGACAACTTCTCACGGGGCCGCACATTTAGTAACCTTTTTTAAAGTAAAGCAACCGGAAGGCAGTACGTTCTTTATTCTGAAAATCTCGGGAGCTTCTCTCCATTTCCGCGTCCGAATTCCTGTCTTTCCTTCCCCTAAAATGTCGAACTTGACCCGTTTCAGAGGTGTCGCGCGTAGAAAATAGAACCGGCGCGTAAAGGCCGCGACATGCTGCTCCTGAGACGCGGCCGACTCGCGCTGCTGACGGCTCCGGTGGAAAAGGTTCTGTTGACCACAGCGGTTCCTATCAGCAGCTATGACGTGCTGCTGCAGTAACGTGCTGCTGACGGCTCCTGTGGCAACCCTGTCCCGAGGCAACCCAAGCACCTCCAGAGGGGGGCAGCAGCCCCCCAGCCCCAGACGCCCCCAGTGAACCCACCCTCAGGGAATGTCCGGATACTCCAAACTCAGACCTTCCACCCCATCACCCACATCACCCCGCAGGACAATATTAATGACCCCCCCCCCCCCCCCCCCCCCCCCCCCATCATCGCTATGTGATGGAACCTGTCATGACCTCTGCGTTCCTGAGCTCCGTTTTAACCACTACACTGTGGACAGCTCCTCGCTCCGTCCCCGCTGAGAGAGGATCAGCACCATGGAGAGAGGCACGCTGAGACACACCCTTACCGCCAGCCCGCTGACACCAGCTGCGGCTAATCAGGACTCATCAAGACTTCTTACAAAGGAAGAAAAGACACGATCGAGATAGAGGGTTGAAGAGAGAGTTGGAGAGGAGAGTTGGGAAGAGAGTTGTGAAGAGAGTCGTAAAGAAGAGCAACCAGAGATCGAACACGATCGAGCACACGAAAAGAGCAGCAGAGGAATGACACGGAGAGTACAGAAATAAGAGACGAGAGACGAGAGACAAAACCAGAAGGAAAACCGAGAGAACCAGAAACTTGGATTTTACACCGACACGGAGATCTTTCCTGGAGGAGAACCATCGGATTCCAGAGGGGGAGAGAGAGAGAGAAAAAAGGGAGAACGTGAGACAGGACCGGCCACAGTAGGAGCAACGCAGGACCAAAAGGAGTAAAAATACCCCAGGGAGGGTATTGTACGAGTGTGGGGCCTTGCCCAAAACTTTAGACTTATATTTACAATATTAGATTTAAGCAGACCTCTGGCATTATTATTTTCATTGACCTTATTTATACCTGCCGGGACACTTTTAGTTAATAAATTCCTTTTGAACTTTTATTTTGTCCTCGTGTTTGCTCCCACCACATTTGTGTTGCCCCTCCTGGTAGTTCCTAGGCCTGGAGGGGTGAAACAGAACCAATCAAAGGAGCCCAAGGAGATTGATTTAAGCGGAAGCAGAAGCTGTATCAAGTGCAATAGTATCTAACAAAATATTTCTATATTGGTTAATGCAAAGAGTATCTCTATTTTTCCAAATCATGAGGATAGTTTTCTTAGCGTTGCATTAGGCAGTCAGAACCACGTGAACCAAAGATGTCTCAATCGGGACATCGTCCAGGTTTCCCAGCAAACAAAGAGAGGGGGAAGTTGGGATATGACATTTCAGACACTTTGACAGGTCTTCACATACTCTACCCCAGAATTCCTGGACAAGTGGACAGGACCACAGTGTGTGGATGTAATTGTGAGGAATGTTGTTTGTGCAGTGTGTACAAGTGTCAGACAACACAAACCCTATCCTGAACATCCGATGACCTGTATAGTGTACTCTGTGTAGGATTTTGTACTGAAATAATTGTAAATTGGGGTGTCTGATCATTTTAAATTTTTTTAAACAAGTTTGGGACCAGAAGTTCTGGTCAATAGCTGACTGATACATCCACCTCCCATTTTTCAATAGGGATTGCTATTCTATCGTCTATTTTGGACAGTGTCTTATATACTTTTTAGAGAGTAGTTTGGGGCGTTTGAGACTATAGAAGTCTAATACCGTTGGTGGTGTTTTTAATTCTACTTTATTGAGCTTAAATTTTTGTTTAACTACAGATTTAATTTGGTGATATCCTAAAAAAGCTATTCTTATCTATTCCAAATTGGGAGACTATTCTATTAAATGGGATGAAGTCCAATCCTTCATATATGTGTTCCAGGTATAGGATTCCTTTACTTTTCCAGTCCAGAAGGTTCATCATTTAGTTATTTAGCAAAATATCTGGATTATACCAGATAGGTGTGCGTCTGCATGGTACTAGTGAAGACCCTGTCAATTTTAGATACTCTCACCATGCTGTCAGAGAGGTGCTGATATTAATACTTTTGAAGACTTTATGTTTTTTTATGCTTGAGCTAATAAATGGTAAGTCTGAAAGCTCTATCGTATTGCAAAATGTCTGTTCTATATCTGACCAGGACTCATCTAGTGGGTTATTTTGCATCCATCTTGGTATATATTGCAGCCTGTTGGCTAAGAAATAATAATAAAAGTTTGGTAGATCCAGTCCTCCTCTATCTTTGGTCTTCTGAAGCGTTTTTAAGCTAATTCGTGGAGGTTTATCCTGCCAAAGGAATTTAGTGATTGAGGAGTCCAGAGATCTAAACCAGTCAGCTGGTGGCTTGTTTAGGATCATTGAGAATAAGTAATTTATTCTGGGTAAGACCATCATTTTAATTGTAGCAACTCTTCCCATTAGTGATATTTGTGAGGATTTCTATGTTGCAAGATCATCTTCCACTTTCTTTAAAAGTGGGATGAAGTTTAGTTTGGTTAGATCTGCCAACTTGGGAGAGACATTAATTCCCTGGTATGTGATATTCCCTGACTCCAAATGTGTACTAAGTAAAATGACAAAAGAGAAATTAATTGGTAGAACTGTGGATTTTAACCAGTTTATTGAGTAATATGAAACATTTTAAAAAGAGTTTATCAGTTCTATTGAATGGGAGAAAGAGGACTGAGAATTCTGGAGAAAGAGTAAAACATCATCTGCATAAAGACTAATCTTATGTTCTATTTTCTTACACTTTATGCCTTTAATGCCTGTTGTTTGCCTAATTGCTGCTGCTAGTGGTTCGATAAAGATAGCAAACAGTGAGGGGGAGACTGGGCATCCCTGCCTGGTCCTCCTCTGAAGACAGAAGCTAGCTGATATTTGGTCGTCTGTCCTGACACGTGCTGTTGGTGAACTGTATAATGTTTGTAGCCAGTTAATGAAGCCGTTCCCAAAATCAAATTTATGTAAAGTTGCAAATAAGAACTTCCAGTTAACTCTATCAAAGGCCTTTTCTGCATCTAGAAGTAATATACTAAATTCCACTGCAAGAGAAATCTATGAAATTAAGTAATCTATGTGAGTTTGTGGATGACTGTCTACCATTAATGAAACCAGTTTGGTCAGGGTGTATTATGAAGGGGGTTACCTTCTCTAATCTTTTTGCCAGGGCTTTACAAATCATTTTGAGATCAACATTAATAATAGAAATTGGGCGATAGCTGGTAGGAAATGCAGGATCTTTGCCTGGTTTAACCCTTACCTCACATTAGAGCATTTTTTTGTGCTCTAATGACTTTAACGTTAGAAAATTTAAACGTTGGGTAAGGGTTAAGTAAAAGACTAATGTTGGCTGAATTCATGTTTGGCTGTAATCTGCCACACTCTTTGATTTCCCTCCCCATTCTGAAGAAAGTTGAAGCCAGAATGATCCAGAATTCTTTGTAGAACTCTGCTGGGAACCCGTCTGGACCTGGAGGTTTCCTATTCGTCATGGATTTAAGGGCTTCGTGGAGCTCAGCTGATGTTAGTGGCGAATCCAGGACTGTAGCTTGGCTGTCTGATAATTTAGGAAGTGTTATCTTGTCAAGGAACTCATTGATCTCGTTATCTGATGGGTTTATCTGTGGTGAGTACAAAGTTTGGTAATAGTCTCTAAAAGTGTTGTTTATTATTCCAGGATCACATATTATATTCCCGGTTGAGTCTTTAACAGCAGATATGGTAGCTTTCTCTTTATTTATTTTTAACTGGTTAGCTAAAAATTTACCTGATT